ATGAAATCTGAATGTTAACAAATATAAAAGAATAATAAAGCAATCTTAAATAAACACATATTTAAAGTTGTTTAAAAGAAGTAGGGGAAAGCCACAGAAGCAAGTACTTCAATCACAGTGTGACCCTCAAAACCTTCCAGAAGCTTCCTCAGCATTTTGGCCATGAGGCTTAAATAAGAATCAGCTATCTCAACCATTATTTCAGATGTTACAGATCTTGATGCCCAGACGTCTGAGAAACAAAAAAGGTGGAGGCCAAAGGGGGTCCACTTTTTGACATCAGAGAGGCAAAGGCCTTCAAGCCCAGTTTACAGAGGACAAGCAAGTCCAGAGAGGTTGCAGGCCCTGCCCAAGGCTGCCCAGCAAGCAGCACATGGGGAGATTAAAAGATTTTCTAGGAAGGAGGCTGAGGGGACAGGATCTGATGTGAGTGGGATGCTGGTCTGACCAACCTTGCAGCACTGACATCCCATCTGTGACTGAGAGGGGCTGGTCTTCTTTGTACCAGGTGAGCTCGGGAGGTGGGACAGCATTGGTGTCACAGTGTAGGTAGGCAGGGTTGTTCTCCACGATCTCCCGGTACTCCGTCACCCCACCCCGGGCCTCCTCCTCCTCCTGGGATAGGATCTCGAAGCCGGCATTGTCATCATTTACCTTCTGGAACATGGGGGGCACTGGGAGGGGTGATCAGGGCAGGGAGACAAAGGTGTTAGGGATTCTTATGCACCCCAAGTACAGATATTTCCACTTCTGAGCCATTTCCTTGGGTCAAAACATTCTCTAAAGTCACCAACTCCCTAAGCGTGTGTTTAGTGAGCAACTATTATGTGCTGGGCACTAGGAAAAGGTCCCTACCCTCCAAAGCTCATATCTAATGGGTTCCAGAAGACTCCTCATCCAGAGAGCGTTATGCTGAGTGAACTCAGTCCCACAAGGACAAATACTGTATAAAACCATTATTGTAGAATGAGGACAAGGATCCAAAGGGGAGGAAGGACGGAAGCAGAGGGATGAGGATGGGCGGGGAGTGGGGTGTTAATCACAGGGTTGCACCATTTGATGGGGTGTGTGAAGGAAATGGGAAGACCTTGTGTGGAAACAATGTATTTTAACTTTATAAATAAAGCAGTAGAAAATTTAAAAATAAAAGAGTCTTCATAATGCATACTTTTTCTTTTTTTAGGGAGGAAACAAGATACCAAACTTTGGCCAGTTTCTCAAAGCACAGAGGAACAAAATCTGCTTTGGGAACCAGAAACAGCCTTCCAGGCTACTTGATTTGTTCATCTACATTTTACAAAAGACCAAGCAGAGGCCTAGAGGGGGCAGTGAATTCCCAAGATAACAGAGCTAGGAGGCACCAGAAGCACTGAGAAGGGGTCTGGGTGGTCAGAACACTCCAGAAGCATTTCATAGCAAAATCTCGCTCTGCAGCTTGCCAGTCCACCTGCTGCCTGCCTTGCTCCTTTTCTTTTTAATTCCTTTTCTTTTTTTTTTCTATAAGAAAAATATCAAATGTATACAGAAACAGAGATAATACTATTATAAGCTGCCAGGTGCCCACCATCAATTTCAACAATTATTAACACACAGCCTCATCTTACTCTTCACCCAGGATCAGTTTGAAACAAATCTCTGTGCCTCCTAATAAAGCAAGAAGTCCCTGGCAGAGAGGTTAAGAGCACAAGGTTTAGGCTCAACCGGCCCTGGTTCAAGCCCAGGCTCCGCTATTTAAAGCTGTAATGTGAGAGAAGCAAGTTGATCTCTTTGGATCTCATCTTTTCAGCTATAGGGAGACTCGGGGCTGCTGTGATGGATCCATAGGAGACACTGTAAGGGGTACGTGAACCGCACAGACACTCATGCTAAGTGAGCATTGTCATCCCTCCTGCGAGGGTTCTCCTCTACGGGCACCAAGGACAAGAACTCCACCAAGGGGCGAGGACCCCTGTTCTGTTCAGGAAAGCAACAGTGCTGTGGAGACACCCCTCAGATTGAGCCTGAAGTGCATTCACATTTTACTGGGGACTTTCTGAGGTGATACCCTAACCAAAACAAATGGCTCAATATGAAATTGTAACAGTAGTGGGAGTCGAGGCAGGATCTGCTGGGCGAGGCTGCCTGGTGGGGCCCATCAGAAGGATGCTGGGAGCCCCAGGAGCCAGCATGGGCTCTGGCCACTGCATGCCACCACCTGTTCCCACTGACAGGCCTGCCATATCCCTCTGCTCTCTGGGCTAGGGTCCCTCAGCCCACTGGGTGGCACGCACCCTGGATGAGCACATTAAAGTGCTGGTCGTCCTCGCCAGCCACGTTGGTGGCCACACACAGGTATCGCCCTGAGTCTGAGACCCTAGTGGGCTGGATCTGGAGCAGTCGTCCTTGGCCCAGGACATGCAGCCGCTCATGGGGGGTCACAGGCTGTGGGGAGCAAGGAAGAGAGTGAGGGTGAGATCAGAGAAGAGGGGACGAAATGCAGCAAGATCAGTGCTGCTGGTGTTGTTAACAGCTGTCAAATCAGCCCCGGCCCACAGGGACTCCAGCACAAAGGGGTCAAGTGGATTCTTGCAATCAGTTCCGTCTTCATTGGCCAATTTTCAGAAATAAATCATCATCAGGTTTTTTCTCCTGATCTGTGTTAGTCTAGACTTTGCTTAAACCTATTTGACATCTTGGTGGCAAACAAGCCACCAGTGATGGGCGAGATGTGGCGGCACGTGACTGGGGCTCCATCAATTAAACCTGGGGCTCTGTGCAGAAGGCAATCCTTCTTCCGAGGAGCCACCTATGCCCTCTACATGAGTGGATTTATACCATAACAAAAGTTTTAAATGCAACATTAAGCAATGCAAACACCCCAATGACAACTTTGTGAAGCCAAATGAATATGCATTAAAAATGGAAGAAAAATTGGTGAGTCATAGTAGAACTGAATGTTTCCAATACTGTTCTCTAGTTGAATTTCTTAGTACAAAAATAAAAGGTGGTTGGGGCGCAGGCTAGTTTTTTTGCCAGATGCTTCAAGGACTGCCTCCTCTGGAAGATTCCAAGCAGAACCAGGGTGGGGCATGCCTAAAGGGCCCCACTTGCCCATCTGCATGCACCTGTCTATCCTGGTACCAGCTGATGGTCCATGGGGGCACAACCTAAAGCTCCCCACTCACCCACCTGCACTCACCTGTCCATCCTTGTACCAGCTGATGGTGGGTAGGGGCACAGCCCGGCACTCACACTCCAGTGTCAAGGTGCTATTGACCTTTGTCTTCACTTCCTTCACACCAAACTCCCCCAAGGGGTCATCTTTGGAGATTGAAGGAGGTACTGAAAACCACAAGGAGGTCTGAGGATCAGGTCTGGGGGAGTGTTGACGGTTGCATGCACCCTGGCCCTGGGACAGTCCCAGGAGAGAGGGTGGGGCTATGCTGAACAGTAGAGGCGCAGGAATCCTGGGCTCTCTGAACTTAGGGGAGAGCATGAGTCTAACTGGTAGGCTAACGAGGCAGGCCAGAGGCAGAGGAATTCCTGGCTGGACATCCAGAGGCCATTCTGGGGACCTTCAGGTCTCAAGATGTGGACCCTCTGATTATATCCACACTGGAGTGGCAGAGAAAGCCAGGTCTAGAGGGGTCTAGGAGCCCTTGTTTCCCAGGTCCTCACTCTCCATTCCCTGCTCTTAGCGTCCTCAGTGCCAAGTCAGAAGTGACCAAGCCCACCCCCTCTGCTTTGTAAACCTCAGAGGAGACCACTGGGCACCCTGGGGAGGGGGTGTCCAGTGCAGCCCAAGAGCTGGCACTCCGGAGAAGCCAGACTCACTGAGGACTTCCACGTGGTAGTTCTTCACGGCCTCCCCAAGCTCGTTGGTGACCACACAGGTGTACTGGCCCGCGTCTTCCTCCTGGGCATTCAGGATCTGCAGCCCGTGGGTACCTGCTTGAGGGGCAGCAGCCAGGGTCAGCTCGCAGCTGTAGCTCCACTAGGTGTGAAGTTCAGGCTCACCAGCCCCCTCTGGCCCAGTGTGATGGCATGTCACTTGTCCCCTCACTCTTCCCGCCAAGGGCATCACCTGGGAGCAGCTGGATGTTCTTTGAAAGCTCAAAGGGGGTCCCATCCTTCATCCAGGTGATGGAGGGGGAGGGGAAGGCCAGAGCCTCACAGATCAGAGAAATAGGGTTGTTGATGGTCACGGTCACTTCCTCGTCTGCATTGTCCTCAGTCACTCCCAGGATGGTGGGAACCACTGGAGGGATTGGGAGGGGGCAGGAAGGTCACTTGTGAATGAGGATCCCCAACCCTGAGGATCCTCAAAGAACCAGGAAACCCTCAGGCCTCAGCACCTTTATTATTATTATTATTATTATTGTAGGGTTTTGGGTTTTTTAAAAATTATTTCTTTTTATTTACAAACCCTTGTGTGGAGGGCTGACTTTCTCAGTACCTAGTCTTGACGCTCCTGTGATCTGCATTACACAGATGGGGAGGCAGAGGCCCAAAGCAGCCCACACAGAGCAGCCAGACCTGAGCTTGAGCCTGGTGATAAAGGGCTCAGGCTCCTCACCACTAAGTCTGATCACTTTTGCCTCAGTTTCCCTGAGCTATAGGGCCACCAGTCTGTCTCCTGTGGGGTAGAACACCTCTACTTTTATTGGTCCTGAAATTTCCTCTTTTAGCCCCTGCAGGAGAGGTTCCCTTTCCCTACCAGCATTGTCAGAAACCATTTTCACCGAAGCAGTCTGTGTCTCTCATCTCCCAGCTTCTCCAGCCTAACAGGATAGTTCGCTATTACACTCAGGAGATGGGCAGACAAGGTATGAATCCACCAGCCAGGGTCTTGGCATAGGTCACTTCTCTCTAAGACTCAGAAACTTCATTGATGACATGGAACAAGCACATCTCCCACCTTCAAGGGTTTTTGTGAAAATTAACCAGTCAAGTCTGGCCAAATGCCTGGCCATTGGTAAATACTCAATATCCTTGTTACTGCTGTCGTTGAATTGAAGTTGGAGAAATAGAAGGAAAATAGTCAAGTGCTTCTGCACAATGACACGTATGGAGCCAAACTCAGTGGCTGACTCTTCTTCCAAGCCCCCAGAGTGACCAGCACTTACCCAGGACACTAAGCTGAATGTGCTTGGTCCGCTCCCCTGCGGCATTGGCTGCGATGCAGGAGTAGTGGCCAGCACTGGACAGGTTGGCCTGGAGGAGCTGCAGGAGCGCTCCATCTGAGGATATGTGGTGGGCATCTCCACTAGTTAGGGGCTGACCATCTTTGAACCACGTGACCTTGGGCTGTGGGTGGCCTGTGCACATAGAAGAAATGGGTGAAACAATTCCGCAGGCTTGACCAGGTCTGCCGATGGCCTGAAGGATGCTCTGGAATGGACGGGACAGGGATTCTTCCTCCCCTGGGCAACCAGCTGAACAGAGAAGTCACCAGGTCTGATCTAGACCCTTTCCTGTGGATTTCAGCTGACTTTTCCTCACCAAGGTGTGGACACAGGTAGCTCAAAACAGATAAAGCACAAAGCAAGACACAAGGGCAACTCATTCTTCTTTCCTTTCATCCATCCATCCATCCATCCATCCATCCATCCATCCATCCATCCATCCATCTATCCATCCATTATTCCATCCACACATACATGCTTCCTTTGGGCCATTCATCTCCTTCAGCCTGCTCTGGTGGCGTAGTGGGTAAGGAATTGCACTGCCGATCCAAAGGCAGGTGGTTTGAATCCCAAAAGTTTCCTTTCAGCAATCTGAAAGATTTAATCCTTTCCTGAAAAATTGAGTCCTTTCTCCTGAAAGACAGGTCACCTCCTTCTGTGAGATTTACAGCCTCTGAAAACTCACTGGACTCAGTTATGAGTTCGTTCTAACTCAATGGCAATGAGATTTTTTTTTTCTTGGATTATTATTTTACTCTTCCAAAAGTTGATGTTTCAAACCCACTCAGAGGCATATTGGGAGACATCTGGTGACGTCACAGTCTTGAAAATCTTAGGGAGCAGTTCTACTCTGTATATATGGGGTCATCATGAGCCATAACTGACTTGATGGTGACTAACAGGTACCAGGAAAACTACAGTGACAAGGTCACTTAATTCTCAAAGCCTGGCTTGGGAACACAGTTGGCACAAGACCTCTTTGCCCCAGTGTTGTCAATCTGGGACGGAGATTCACTTGGGGTTGTAGGAAGCCAAGACCTCCAGGAAGGTACTGAATCTAAGAAGTGTAGTCAAGTGGGGAGTAGGGAAAGCATTTGGGGTAGCGGGGACACCAAATGTAGGGGTAAGAAGAGAGTCAGAGGTGAGTTCAGAATGCAGGGGCAGGTAAGCCAGAACCCCAGGGCCCTTCTTGTTTCCCAAGTTACCTGCTCGCTCCTCTCCCAAGCCTCCATGTGAGTGTGGGCCTCACCTGTGGTGTTGCATGCCAGGACAGCGGTCTGCCCCTCGGGGACCTTGATCACCTCGTCCAGGTCCTCCTTCTCAATACTAGGAGGAACTGGGAGAAGCAGGGAGATGATTACTGACTAGGGCCAGTCACTGGGGCTGAGATCTGTAGAGCGAGACTTCAAGAACCCACAACTCCTCTTAGTTTCCTGTGCCTTGGTTTCTCCATTCTTTGTGCCAGTTTCCACAGGGCACAGAGTTTAATGTCAACATTTGTTGCTGGCAGGAAGGAAAGAACCAGCTCCAAGAAGATTGTTTTACTGGTGGTTATCCCATAGGGAGATGCACTGTAACCCAAAGGCTGTGCCTCTCTGGTGGTTCGAATCCACCCCAGCTCCTCATGAGAAATACGGGCATCTCCTCTCAGGTTATTTACAGCCTCGGAAACCCCTAAGGCCAGTTATGAGTCCATACTGACTCGCTAGCAATGAGACAGAGACTAGGAGTTGGTCCTTGCTTATCTAGAAAGTTCCACAGCAACCTCAGAGACAGAGAACAAGAGGTGGCTCTTTTTCTGTTCTGAGCCTCCTTATGCAGGATGAGATGTTAGACCTGGATCCTGTCCCTGTACAATTTCGAGCTAGGAAGGAAGGATTCATAGGCACCCATGAGAATGGGCTGCAACATACCCAAGACCTCCACGCTGAAGTTTCTTCGCACCTCCCCAGCCTTGTTGATGGCCAGGCATGAATACAGCCCTCGGTCTTGCTCCTGCACTCGAGTCATCTTCAGCATCCAGCCACCTAGGGAAGGAGAGGGGTGGGATCCAAGCACAGCTGAGAATATCTTCTATCCAAGCCAACCCCAAGGAGGGAGAGCACCAGGCATTATAATTAGGTGTATGCGTGTCCAATTCTGTAGATGGGGGAAACAGAGGCTTGTGCGGGATAAACAGTGATGGAGGTGCCTGGACATTAGACCTGCACCAGGGTGAACTGTTCTAGCAAGAACGATCTGTCATTCTGGCCACTTCTAGTTCTGAGGACTGGTTGTGGCTTAAAAGACAGCAAGGGACTACAGGATCCTGGTCCAAGTCTGGTACACACTTTTCTCTGATGTTGTTGTTGTTATGTGCCATTGAGTCACTTGCGACTCATAGCGACCCTATGTACAGCATCCCTAAACCCTGCTCTGTCCTGTGCCAATCTCACTGTCTCTGACACACTCACTACCCCAGTCACTGAATCAATACACCTCATAGAAGGTCTTCCTCTCCTGTGCTGTCCCTCTACCCTCCCAAGCATGATGTCCCTCTCCAAGGACTGGTCCCTCCTTGCAACATGTCCAAAGTATGTCACACGAAGCCTCATAATCCTTCCCTCCAAAGAGAAGCCCGGTTTAACCCTCTCTAGGATGAATCTGTTTGTTTTCCCAGCAGTCCATAGTACCCTCAGTACTCTTCTCCAGCACCACAGCTCAAAGGCATCAATTCCCCTATCCTCCCTAGTCATTGTCCAACTCTCTGATGCATAACAACTGATTTCAAAGACCATGGCCTGTATCAGGTACACCTTAGTCTCCAGAGTGACACCATTGCTCTTCAGTACTTTGGAGAGGTTCCTAACAGCAGACTTTCCCATTGCAATATGCAATATCTCTGATAGGTATAGCAAAAAGTCTTCTACCAAGAATCCCTAAGAGTTGAGCTAGCTCCTTTTTAGAAGCCCTAAGACTCTTAAGACCAACCAAGGGAGGCGAACACCCATGCCATCACTGCCATTCCTGCATCCAGGAGTCACTGACTGGCACTGCCCTTCTTCCCATTGGGCACAGGTATAGCCTCTGAATCTATTTCTGTGCAATGCATCTGGGAGACACTCTCAAATGCTCAGAAATATGCCAGGAGAGATACATTTACCACCCCAGCATTGGCTATGTGAAAAACTGATGGGCTACTGAGGTGTATGGGGCCTCAGTCAACCTTCAAGGTGGCTGAAAGGCTGGAATGGGAAAGGAAAAAAAATCTGAATGGGACATTGCCTTGGGCCTCAGTTTCCCCACCTGTATACCAAGAAGAATTATCACAAACTTTATGAGGGGGAGTGAATATTCAGGAGAAGGTACTTAGATCAGTCTTTCCAAACATTTGGTACCTTTCTGTGAGACTTTTCCAAAATAATCAAAACTTATGAAAATGTTTATAATGATAATAGGGAGCTCTGGTGGTCTAGTGGGTAAGGAGTTACGCTGCCAACCCAAAGGGGTGTGGTTTGAATCCACCAGCTGCTTTGCAGGAGAAATATGGGGAGTCTTCTCACCTGGAATTTACAGCCTCTGAAAACCCATTGGAAGGTCAGCTACAGGTCAGTTTTTATTTGACACCAATGAGTATGAGTGTGTACTATGAAAATGTGCACACACAAAAAAAAAGAAAGAAAAAGTGCACTGTGTGAATCTCCAGGATAGAAGTGGAGTAGGAAGGTTTTTCCAAAATCTTTAAATCTCAAAGCTTTTTTCCTGAAGCACTTCACCTGACTAGTATTTTCAAGTACACGTTTCACGTACCAATGGCTAGAACAGTTAGTCCAAGCAGATCCAGCAGCTCAAGGTCAGAAATGATGGCCACACATAGGCCAAAGCCAGTGAGACCCAGATCCTCCTCGGCTGGCCCCTTACCTGCCAAAAGATAGGTGTCCTCTCCGGGGCTGACGGGTTGGTCCCCTCTGAACCAGCGGACCTCTGGGGGTGGGATGCCTGTGGCTTCACAAAGCAGTGTCAAGGGGCTGTGCAAGGCAGCAGTGACATTGGTCAGGGGGTCTGAGTCACCGATGAGCTCTGGGGGCACTAGATACAGAGAAGTTTTGTTCAGGAGGCATACAAGGGGCTGCATGCTTCTACCTGCCTAAAGACCCTCGCCTCCCACATCAGAGTCTGAGGAGCAGAAGGGACAAGATCAAGGTCGCTCCCACTGAAGTCATGACACCTGAAAGGGCACAGACTGAGCTCTGGAGTCAGGCAAACACTGGCCTTTCTCTCTCCTAAATCCATCAGAAGGACACATGGAGAATTCAGGAAAAGTGCCTGGCCTGAAGCAAATGCAACTAGCACTAGAGCGAGAGTAAGCACAGACACGTTCCCTTAACCCACACACAGGAACTAAGGGGTGACTCTGAAAGTTTTAAAGGATCTGTCCATGATGCTTAAGATCCCACGCTAGGGACATGAGAGGGGTCCTCTGTAAACCCATCCTCCACACCGCTCCTGCCTTGTCTCTTACCAACCCTGACCTTTACCCTGAATTACAAGAACTTCAGGCACACAGTGGGAGCTCCAGTCACTGGAATGAATGGAGCTGCTCTGGTTTCCCTGGATGAGCTGTATCACTCCTCCAGGCCTCCACACAGTCGGTTCCCTTTGCCTGGCACACTCGTCCCTGCTCCTGCACCCAGTTTGATTGTTCTCAGCCTTTGTGCTTCACCTTAAAAGTCACCTCCTCCTGGATGTTTCTCTGACTTCCCACAGAAGTTCAGGGGCTTTCTGGCCTATCACAGCCCCCTGAGCATCCCTCATGACATGGCAGTCATGCAGGATAATGCCACCCCCAAAATAAAAGCTGACTCATAGTAACCCCACGTTTGTCTGAGCAGAACTGTGCTCCACAGGGTTTTCAGTGACTGACTGATTTTTTAGAAGGAGATCACCAGCCTTTCTTCCAGCACACACTGAGTGACCTCGAAAGGTCTCAACTAATAGTTGAGAGCTTCCTTCTGCACCACACTCTCACTTAGGACAGACTGCTCATTTCCCCAGTGCCCGAAACAGAGTAAGGAAACAGCAAAAAATTGAGGACAAAATGGAAGGACAAGAGTAAGCAAGAAGGCAGAAAAAGAGAAAGGATGAGGCAGGGAGTTGGAGATTGAAGACCAGTTCTTGAGTTTGAGAGCAGCATGTCAGCTGCCACCCCTGGGAACAACCATCATCAGAGACCCGAGAATAAGGGTGAGGTCAGAAATAGAAATAAGGGATGTGAAGGGCTGAGGGCTGCAGAGCTGAGGGCCATCCAGAGCTGAAAGCCATGCAGAGCTGTGGGCCACGCAGAGCTTGAGGCCACGCAGAGCTGAGGCCACGCAGAGCTGAAGGTCACGCAGATTGAGGGTTGCAAAGCTGATGCCCAAGCAGAGCTGAGGGCCACACAGACTGAGAGTTGCAGAGCTGAGGGACAAACAAGTGAAGGTCAAGCCGAGCTGAGGACTGCAGAGCTGAAGACTGTGGAGAGGTGAGTGCCACACAGAGCTTAGGGCTGCTGGGCTGAGGGCTGCAGAGCTGAGGGTCATGCAGAGCTGAGAGCTGAAGCGCTGAGGGATATGCAGAGCTGAAGGTCACTCAGAGCTGAAGACTGCAGAGCTGAGGGCCAAGTTGAGCTGTGAGCCATGCAGAGCTGAGAGCTGCAGAGCTGAGGGCTGTGGAGCTGAGGGCTACAGGGCTGTAGGCTGTGTAGAGTTGAGGGCTGTGCAGATCTGAGGGCCATACGGAGCTGAGAGCTTCAGAGCTGAAAGCTACAGAGCTGAGGGTCCTTCAGAGCTGGGGGCCATGAAGATCTGAGAGCTGCAGAGCTGAGGGCTGAGCCAAGCTGTGGGCCATGAAGAGCTGAGGGCAGAACAGAACTGAGGGCAGCCCAGAGCTGAGTGCTGCAGAGCTGAGGGCCATGCAGATTTAAGAGTTGGTCAGAGCTGAGGGCTCTGCAGAGCTAAGGGCCACCAAGAGTTGAGGTTTGGTCAGAGCTGGGGGTCTCACAGAGCTGAGGATTGCAGAGCTGAAGGCGGCACAGAGCTAAGGGCCATGCAGAGCTGTGGGCCATGTAGAGGTGGCTGTTCAGAGCTGAGGGCTGCACAGAGCTGAGAGCTGAGCATGGAGGTTGAGCCAGCATTGCTCTCCAGGTCCTCACCCAGCACAGAGAGTAAAAAACTTCTCTCAGCCCTCCCAGCCACGTTCTCAGCCACACAGCGGTAGTGTCCAGCCTGAGCAGTCCCTGCCTGCAGGATATGCAGGCTCTGATTGTCATTCTGCAGTAGAAGGCCAGGCTTGTCCCTGACCGGCTGGTCGTCCTGCTCCCAGATCACTGTTGGCGAGGGTTTCCCTGTGACGTTGCATTCAAGAGTGACTTCTCTATCCTGGACCACAGAGACTTGTGTGTGGGGTTCCTGGGTGGCAGCGATTTGAGGGGGAACTGAGGGTGAAAAGAGGTACATAAGGATGAGCTGCTCCAAGCACAATACTTGGTGAACACACCCCTGTTTAGACCCATGACTCCATCCTGCCACTCTGGCTGGGTGACCTTGACTAGTGACCTTGCCTCTAGCTGTACCACCTCTCCCACACCCTGGGGGTCACAGTCACTGTCCACTCCACACTCCACCCTCTCTAAAGTTTCATTCACCCCCATCTGTAGCCCAGCGGAAACAAAGCTCTCTCATTCATGGTCCTGCTCTTGGGAACACCTCACTCCAGTGCCCTGTTAAGGTCTTTGTGAGGTCTTTTCTAACAGAAACCAGCAGCTTCCCAGAGCTTAAACTGTAGCAGGGAAAGTTGAGGGTAGGTTGGAGGCAAGGATAATTCCACTGGAGAGTTTCACTATAGAATGCTGAGCACAATTTTTCTTGGTTTTCTTTTCTAGTGTGATTTTCCTAAGACTACAGTATTTATTTTGACTCTGACGGACAAAAAGGAGCCTTGACTTTCTGATGTATGTGGGAACTTCCTATCATTTTGACAGTTTTCTTGTTTCTAAGTATTTCTAAATGCATTGGTTTCCCTGGGTCACTGGGGGATATAACACTAGGGGTTGTAAGTCCTTAGGAAGTATTTGGGGATCATATTGCCACTCTCCCAAATTCAGGCTAGGAGCTCTGAGAAAACAGACAGTAAAGGGAAATTTATAAGAGAGAATGTGGGACCATCCTCAGTTTTACTGTTCCTGTCTTCACGTAGCACTGGCTGTGAGTGGGTGGTCTGCTCTCTCAGTGTGTCCCCTTTCCACTCCTCCTGCCTCTCCACCACCTGGTTTGGCTCACCATGCACCTCCAGATGATGCTCCTGGCTGCTGTTCCCCGCCACGTTGCTGCATTCACAGGTGTAGGTGCCCTCCTGGCTGGGCTGGGCCTGCCCCAGGTACAGCAGTCTCCCCACAGCAGACACCTGCTCGAGGCCAGCCCCTTCCCCAGGCAGAGGCTGACCTGGATGCAAAGGGAAAGAAGCTCCTGCTTCAGGGCATTTGTGGGGCAACAAAGTCCTTCCACCAGGAACCCATGACCTCCCACATCTACTGACTCCTATTCATCATTCAGGCATCGACATAGACATCACTTCCTCCAAGAAGTCTTCCCTGAGTGCCAAATCTGGCCATGCACTCCCTCTGAGATTCCACACCTCAACTTTCTCCCCATCTACCTGCAGGTGCCTTGTCCAAATCCCACACTGGCCTGTGCTCTCCTGGAGGCAGACCCAGCCTCATTCCCCATAACCCTACTCTGGCCCCAGAGTCCTTAGAGACTGCCAGGGCCAGGCACCCAGCAGGGCTCAGTGAAAGCTATTTAATGAATGACTTATACGTCTTGCCAGGACAACCCAGGAAAGGACGAACAGGAGGCTAGCACACTGGAGTGTAATAAGCCCTCAACATGGGAGAAGGATTCTGAACCTTGAAGATGCTAGTATCATTTGCTAGGATCCTGCACTGTGCATATAGGATCAAGCCCCAGACTCCTGTCATTGATTCATTCATGTCTCAGCAGGAGAAGGGGCGATTCCTTCCTCTGACATTGACTGCTCCAAGGTCATTCTCTTCTTGATCCCCACACTTTACTAGGGGACCTCAGTTACATGTTCTTAAACTGATTCTCACTCCAAACTTCTCCCTGAGCTCCAGACATGCCCACTGGACATCTCACAGTATCTCAGAAGTAACACATTTCCCCATGTTTCCTCCTGCAGCCTTTCGCAGATACCCGGAAGCCATGCTAGATTTCTCCCTCTCGTTCCCATCCAACCTGATCAGAAAATCCTTCAGTAACTTTCAAAATACACTCAGACCCCTGGTCCCTTGCACCACCTTGTGGCCATTACCCAGCCCAGGCTACCAACATCTCTTGCCTGGAGCCCCCACAAGCCTCCTCATTGGTGCCCTATTTCTAGAAAATTTGCTCCCAATGGTCTGGGTGTAGCCAAGTTATTGGGGTGGTCCTGTTAGAATGTAAGTCATATTGGGTCCTACTCTGTTTAGAGCCCTTGAGAGAGGCCAAGAGTCTTACAATAGCACTGAGGCCAACATCCACTGGAAATTATCTTTTGCTTCCCTCTCTTTTGCAGGCTCTACTGCAGCCCCATGGGCTGCTTTGCCATTGTTCAGACATGCCTGGCTCCACCTGCCTCAGGGCCTTTGCACTTGCTGTTACGACTGCAGGGAATGCCTTTTCCCTGTGATGTACTCATGCTCATCCCTCACTTCCTTGACGGGTGTAAAGTCAAATGTTCCTGGCCACTCTACCTAAAATGACAAGTGCTACCCTCTAGTGTTTATCCAAACCATTTATTGCTTTAGGCACCTAGTCATATAATTGTTTATTATCTGGTTTCCCTTACTCTGAGGGAAAGGATTTGTCTGTTCACTGATGAATTCCCAAAGTCCAAAACAGGATCCAGCAGAGAGCAGCTCTCAATAAATACTGGCTAAATGAAAGAATTCCAAACTGATTGAGCCCCTGTCTCCTACCAGGTACTGAACTTGGAGTTCTTTGTTGGCCAAGACAGTGCCTAGTGGGTACATAGAAGGACCAAGGTAAGTAACATGACTCTTTAGCACCAAGGGCCACGTTAAGGAAGCCCTGCCTCAGCCTGGAAGTAGGAATCAGGAAAGGCTTCCTCGAAGGAGAGACATCATAAGTGGGGCTGCCCGTGGATCAATCCAGCTCTCTGGCTAGTGGAAAGCATGGGAAGGGGTGCTGTGGACCCAAGAACAGGGCAAAGAGGGAAGTATTACCCTCACCCCCAGGTCAGCAAGCCCACCCATCTCAGCTACACCTGGTAAGGGAGGAGTGGCTTTCTTGTGCCAAGCAATGAGGTGGGATTAGGATGAAGTAATGATCATACCGTCCTTTCTCCAGGAGATCTTGGGGAAGGGGGCACCTCGACATTCACAGGATAGCCTCACTGGGTGCCCCTCAGTTACAGTCAGGGTCTGGGGCTCCCCTGAGGGGAAGGCTGGAGGAACTAAATCAGAAAGGAGAGGTGGTGAGCAGGGATGGGGTTGGTGAGGGCAGAGCGCTTAGCCAGGGCACATCTAGCTGCGGTAAGGGTGCAGGAAATCCTGGTGTTGGGGGAGCCCCAGCCCAGGCAAGGAGACCCTCACCCCAGACGTTCAGGTTGTAGTGTTTCTCTGAGCGTCCAGCCTGGTTCAACGCCTCACAGGTGTAGCGGCCTGCATCCCACACCTCCACGTGGTCCACCTGTCCAGGAGGAAAGAGAGACGGAAATGCCTCTTGGGTAGCCTGTGTCACTGTACCTCACTGGAGCATGGGACAGTGATTGCACCTCCCACACCTCCTGCACAGGGAAGGTTCCAGAAAGCAATGCCTGTGCTGCATAGGCCTCAGATGGACTGTGCACACACAGTACAAGCCTCACACATGGCAGCCCTGCAACCTCCTCCCACTTCACTGCACAGCATTGCCCACCTGCTCCGGGGAGCACCCTCCTAGTACGAGGAGGAATTGCTGGCCGGTTCAGAGAACTTCTTGCCCTTAATCTGCTTACAGACTCACGGGAGCATCCAGGGGACAAGACCAGAGCAGAGGTGGGAATGAGGAAGAGTCGGGGTGAGGGGATCTTGACCTCAGGGTCCTCACATGTGGAAGAGTATGATCCTGGGATAAACTGTGAGGGTGGCCCAGCTGTGGCTTTGAAGAGTGAAGGGAAAGAAGGGACAGGTGGTCCAGCAGAGGGGGCTGAACAGCAATGTTCAGAGCTTAGAATGGTCATATCACAAGGTTCAGGGGGCAGGGGGTGGAGGAGCGGCTGTAAAGGTAACATTCCCATGCCCTCCCAGCCACCTCTGGGGCAGATGGAGGCCTTTCTGTGAATTCTCTCAGCTGTCTGGAGAAACACGCCAGGGTACTGACATGTTCTGTGCCTGTGGCCCTCGAGGCCAGGACTCTGTCTCAGGTGGTACAGCCAGGAGAGGGCCAAGCTAGAACTCTACTCCTGCTGGTCCTGGAACCCTGCTCCCTCTCAGCTCCCTGCGGCTGACCCTCCACCTAAGAAGGGACAGCAGGCTTGGCTCAGGGCCAGGAGGCGTCATGAGGCATGTGAGGGGGAGTGGGGAAAAGTAAAGGGGACTTTTGAAGAAAAACAAAGAAAAGGGTAGAAGAATCAGAGTGTGCTCAGTGCATTGGGAGTCAGGAGGGGCGCCAGTGCTCAGCCCTGGGTCTGTGCTCTCCTCACTCAGAGCCAGCTCTGACCAGGCCATTGGGACCAGAGGTTGTCAGTGACTCAATAGACCCAGGGCTGAGATCTCTAGTAGCAATGGTGGTGCCATGCTGACCCCGCCCTCAAGTCATCTCCTGTCCCAGGCGTGGGGGGCTTAACTTCAGAAGTCCCTAACCTCCAGCAGGGCCTTGTCTGCAGAGAGGCGAACACCAGGCCTTGGCTTGAGGGGAAGCCCATCTTTCCGCCAGTTCAGCACAGGAGGGGGCACGGCGTGACTCTGGCACTCCAAGGACACAGACTCATTGACCACGACAGACACGTTCAGCTCTTCTCCCAAGATGCTGGGGGGCACTGTGGGGTGGGGGAAGCAGTAGGTGAGCTCACTTGGGGCTGAGGGGATTGAGTGGGCAGGGCAGGGCTGAGACTTGCGCAAGTGAGATTGGGGTCTACTCTTGGCTGCAACTCACTTGCCCACCCAAACCTCCTGCCTTCATCCCCCAACTTCCTTCACAGTCCCTCTTCAAAAGGAGTTCCCCGCCGAGGCCCCACCCCATGCGTCAGTGATGGTGAGGCCTGGGGGTGGTGTTTGTCATAAATAAAATGTAAAGAGCCAAAAAAAAAAGGAGTTCCCCAAATCTGAGTGAAATGGTGGAGTACAATAATATTCATACCCTGGTTATGACACCAAACCATAATTCTATGTTCCCACGGGAGAGGTTAAGTAAAAGGTACCCAATTCTCTTTGTAATATTTCTCAGCATTGCATGTTAATCTAGGAAATTGCATATACATCTATGATTATATAAAAATAAAAAGCAAATTGCTACTAAGGAGTTTTAAAAGCAGTCCTCAGAGCCTCCATTCCGCTTGTAATGAAAATAACCACTGCAGCTCAGCCATTAGGAACGCAGGGTCAGGAGTCAGATCTTTTGGGTCGGACACCTGTGTTCTGGCCTTCATCACTGGTGAGACCCTGAAGACACAACTCGGCCTCCCTGAGCTCTGATTTCCTGATCTGTAAAATGAAGGTAAAGAAAGCACCCACCCTGTGGGCCCACTGTAAGGATTAAAGAGATGACACCAGTGTATCATGTGGACACAATACCTGTCACACCTTTATTGTCCTTCCAGCCAAGGAAGAAAACTGGAGTCCCCCACCTCCTCCCCAAGGCTCTGCATTTCTGAGTTCTTTTGGGGACCTCAGTAGATTCCCCAAGAACCCACGGGGTTAAGAAACAAGAGCTTCTGTAACTATGTGCCTACTGGGCTTAATGGAGCCCCATGGCAACCTGTAGGGCGGGTGCTAGTCTTTCTCCTGTTTTACAGATGAGGAAATTGAGGCCCAAAGAAGCAGTGAGTAACCCAAAGTCAAAGAGAGTAAGTGGAGGAGGCAGGTGGAAGCCCAGGCCCACCACTCAAGCGTCTGCTCTTAACAATGGACCCATATTATGGGGACACTGGGCCTCCTGGCTCTTGGCCTCACACACCTGCCTCCTTTTCTCCAAACACAGAGCTCCTGGCCATGCAAGACTGCTGCCTACAGCCCCCTACTCGACACAGGGGGCTCTCCCAGGAGAAGCAGGAATCCCACCCAGGTCTCTGCCTTCTGAAGGCGGGTATTCTTGGGTCATCTCAAACAGCAAGATCCTTTCATTTGCCACCATCTCTCCCTTCGGCTGTAGCCAGGGATACCCCAGTTCCACCTTCTTGAAGCTGCTGGGCTGGACCACACAGGCCACACAGTCCTCAGACTCACTGTGGACTTGCAGGATGACGTCTCGGCGGTCCTCGCCCACCGCGCTCACAGCCACACAGGAGTAGCTGCCAGAGTCAGAGGCCCGGACACTGGCCAAGGAGAGGACCCGGCCACCAGGGAAGACCTGTGGCCCCAGAAGGAAGACTGCATTAGGCTGAAATGCCATTGTTATATACGTCTAGTGAGAGTGCTCCATCCCCACAAGCCGGTCCTGCAGCCAAGCACACTGGGGGGACTGGCTCCAGACCCCTAGAGAAGCCCCAGGATGTGAGCTGAGGAATGTTTTCTGGAATAACCTCCTACACTGGCTTTGAAGAGTCCTCCACGGTTGCACCATTCTCTGTGACGCTCACCCACCACCTCATGTGGTTAGCAAGCCCCAGAGACGCGGCCACTCTGAACTGGAGGTGAGCCTCACAGGAAAAGTACACAACCACCTTCAGAGCTAGTACAAAAAGAATGTGAATCGTCTCTTATACACTTCTGGATGGATCATATGACAAAATAATAGAATTTTGGGCACACTGGAGTAAATAAAAGCACTATTAAAATCAGCTCCAGAAGCTGTGGTATATTCACACAATGGAATACTATGCTGCATTGGAAAAACAAGGAACTCATGCAATATTATTCAAAATGGGTGACCCTGGAGGACATTACGCTGAATGAAGTATCTCAGTCACAAAAGGACAAATACTTCATAGTGCCACTGTTGTAGAATGAAGCTGACATTGGGGTGGGGGTAGGACTGAGAAAGACTGGATAAACTATGTTTACTGCATTGAAGCTGATGAGGGAGAGAATAGTTTAAAATTTATATATTTTAGGGTATTATGATTATCATAAGAGTCTGGAATGAGGGTTGCAGAGTATACTTGGGGTGGGGGTGGGGATGTGTGGGGGGGGGGAGGGGATTGTGTACCAATGAAGGAGTTTTCTTTTGCTTTTCAAGGAGAGGAGCAAACTGGGGGGGGGGTGGGTGGGGAGAAAGGTGCAACAATGAATGAATGAAATTCCAAAATCTCTGTAGATGTTCATTGAAATTAATAATAATAATAATAATAATAATTTTTTTAAAAATCCCATAATGCATAGGCATGATTGTATAAAACACAATGTGAATGAGGAATAGTGTGAAACACAATGTATATGAATTTTGTAAGCAAACCAATATAAAATAAAAATTAAAAAAAAAAATCAGCTCCACCTGTTTCTCTCAATGTTTTCAATCAGATTTCTCATGACAGAGCGGAACTGCCTGTCTTGTGGAATTTTCTTGGCTGCAGAGTGTACAGGAGTGCAGAGCAGCTATTGGGATTGAACCTCCAGCCTTTTGGTTAGCAGCCAACTACTTAATTGTTTGCACCCCAGCGGCGCCTCTGTGTGGTTACTGTTGTTGGGTGATTACTGTTGTTGGGTGTCGTCAGGTCAATGCTGATTCACAGTGACCCCACATGAGAGAGTGGAACTGTCCCGTGGGTTTTTTGGCTAATCTCTATGGAAGCAGATGCCAGATTGTTCTCCTGGGGCTGCTAGAAGATTTTACATTACACATATGGTGAGTGCTGACAAAAACATTGTTTCTGTTGGCCAGTGTAGCTCCGAACTTCCCTGTGCCTCACAAGAGGTCCATTTCCTCCCTGCAGCCAGTGACGCTCCTGTCCCTGTCTGCCCTTCACTTCTCAGAGCCCATGGCCTGATCTTGCTCCCAGCACCTACAGAGGGTCCCCAGGAGTGACCCCGAACTTCCAGCCCTACTGACCTGGAGGCCAGGTGTCCCTGTGGCAGACACAGGGTTTCCATCCTTCAGCCACATCAGTGTGGGCCTGGGGGTTCCGGTGGCATTACAGGTCAGCCGAACAGGGCTGCTGAGCAGCACAGGGCCTGGCAAGCTGGGTGGCAGCGTGATGTGTGGAGGCACTGCGGAGGAGGGGGGGGCACACAGAGCTGTTTGCTGAGCTGGGGTGAAGCAGGAGCCCCTACTGGGTCCTGCCCCATCCAAGCAGCTCCATGGGAGTGGTGGCACAAACAGGAACCCACAAATAGCATGCCACAGTGCCCAGAAATACTGAGAGGCTTCTGCAAATGAGAAACTGGGGCTCTGGAGGTGACGTCACCTGCCCGAGGTCAACCAGATAAGTTGTGGCAGAAGAAGCACTTGAACTTGGGACTCTCGTGAACAGAAGGCCATTTATCTTGTTGATGGTGTTGCGTAACAAGGCCTGATGATACCTAGACAAGCCTTTGTTTCTCCTCTCAGAGAGACTGGCTCCTTTTCAGCAGGATGCAGTCAGAAGATTGGATTCTATCTGGAAAGTACAAACCCTGATGCCCAGTGTCCCATCACTCACTACTGTTAGGATAAAGATTCAGACTTTTCCTGAGGCCCTGAGGCCCAAGGTGCAGCCTTTATCATTCACCAGAACTGTCCCTGCCCCTCCTCTCTTTGTTTTATAAGCTCCAGGATCCCCAGTTTCCTTTCTGTACCTCAAATATCCCAAGTTTCTCCAGCTTCAGCTCTTGGCAAAAAAAAGCCTCGGGTGAAGCATCTTGGTCTCAGAGATGCCTCTCAGACGCGCCCTGGTTACAGGACCCAGAGCGGTGTGTGCTTTTCTACCACAACTTATGATTATGACAATGATTTGTATCATTATCTCATTTTGCACTCCTCCATTAGACTAAAAGTTCCTGAGTCTGTCCTCTGTTCAGGGCAGAAACCCTTGGTCTTCTTCAGAACATATACTCAGTAAATGTGGTTGGATGGAAGATGTGTAGATGGTTGAATGGATGGAGTGGGAGGTGATGTACAGATAGAAAGATGGATGGTTGGAAGATTGGGTGGATGAATAGGTGGACTGATGCACGACAAGCTGATTGGATGGATGGATGGATGGATGGATGGATGGATGGATGGATGGATGGATGGAGATTTAGGTAAATATATGGATTGTTGGATGAGTAAATGGATGGATGGAGTATTGGATCAAGAGAATGATTGTTGGTTGTCTAGATGGATGAATAGACAGGCTGATGTTCAAACAAATGGAAGGAAAGACAACTTCTTAAATAAGGACCCAGTTTGTTTTAAGGCAGCTCACCGTTGACCCTCAAGCCATAATGTAGTTCCGTGCTGCCTGCCACATTGGACGCCACACAGCGGTAGCTCCCAGCATCAGAAAGCCGGGCTTGCTCAATGTGGAGAACTCTCCCATCAGCTGATACCATCACTCCTGCCCGGCCAGAGACTGGCTGATGACCCTTGAACCAGGAAATACCTAGGGAAGAAAAACCAGAAAAATGCCAAGGATCTTGATAATTTTTTCAAATTCCTCCAGTTATTCAGTGTTACAGTCATTCAGGAAAGGCTGCTTCCAGGTCGGCCATATGCTGTGCCTCTGTGCCAGGCACATAAGAAAGTTCATGTTCTCTAGGAAGTGGGGCGAGGTGTGGACCAGTGTGGTCTGAGACAGGACCCATTGGGGACCCATTGGGGACCCATGGCAGCGTGGAAGCCGCATGGGATGTAAGATAGTGAAACCAGAAGCAGAGAAAAACAAAGTCAAGCAGGGCCCTCTCATCTCCTCCCTCTACCAGATCATCTAACCAGGGAGAGTCCTGGAGGAGGCCATAGCCCACTCGACAATGCCATCCTCACAAGACAGACAGGTCCCTCATGTTTAGATTTCTTAGAGCTCCAGAGAGTGACCTACCCCAAGCAAATCAGGGCGGGTCAAATCAGATGGAGTACAGCTGATGGGCCATCTTCCTGGGCCCATGGTAAACCCAATCCCCTCCAGTCTGCCGAGTTATTGTTGTTGTTACATGCTGTCAAGTCAACTATGACTCATAGCTACCCTATGAAGAACAGCCCTGAACCCCTCCTTATCCGGAGCCAGTCTTACCATCTCTGACCCTATTGCCATAGTCTCTGTGTCAGACTATCTCATCCAGGGTCTTCCTCTCCTGCTTAGTCCTTCCTCCCTTATGAGTATGATATCCTTTTCTAAGGACTGGTTCTTCCTGGCAACATGCCCAAAGTATGTGAAACAGAATTTCAAAATCCTTGCCTCCAAGGAGCAACCTTGTTTCACCATTTCCAAGTCAGACCTGTTTGTTCTCTTGGCAGTCCATGGTATGTTCAATACTCTTCTTCCTTATCACACTCAAAGGTATAAATTCTTCTGGTACCCTTAGTCATTGCATGGCTCTCAGATGGATAGCAAACAATTGAGATGACCATGGCCTGGATCAGGTGCACCTTAGTCTCAAGACTGACATCATTACTTTTTAGCATTCTGGAGAGATCTCTAACAGCAGACTTTTCCTAAAGCAACTAGTCTTTGGATTTCCTGATTGCTGGTACCAAAAGTATCTCCTGAGTCCAAACTCCTAATCCCACATTCCCTGCCACTTGCTCAGCTTCTGGCCTAGAGAGAGGCCAGCCAGGTGGCAGCGTGGAAGCTGTGGTCCTCTGCCTCAGTCCTGGGGAGTTTTAAGCTCTGAGTGGAAGTCCCTGCAGGTTTAAAACATCAGTGCAGAGGCTTAGGGCCCTGGCAGTGACCTGTACATATTAAACACACTGGATACACAATTGTAGAGAAGGAAGAGAGGAAAATAGGAGAAACAGGGTGAAGGACTTACTGCCTGCACCTGCTTATGTGCCCAGAACAATGCTTGGGGAACTTCCTGGCCTCATGAGATAGGGTACTGGGACTGGCTAGAGGAGGCTTTCAGTCAAAAGAAGGGGTCTTACCAGGAGGGGGAACTCCTGAGGCCAGACACTCCAAGGCCACCGAAGCATTCTGCAGCACTGCCTTGTTGATTGGACCTGGCTCGATGCTGGGGGGCACTAGAAGGACGGAAGGGGAGACACCAGGACAAGCTCAAACCTCTGCCATTTCCATTGCCCTTCCCCATTTTCCAAAAACTCCAGGGCAACAAGGGCTCTAAGTCCATTGGCTTCAGCCCATTGGCCAATACAGGACACTCCTAGAACCAAATCCAAGGGCCAGGGGAACTGACCACAGTCTCCACACAAGAATCACCACAGTGTTCACAGATAATGTGCACAGCAAGAAGTAATGAATCCTGCTTGGCCAGAGAAGCGCAGGGCTTCACCCCACATATTGGGTGCAAGTTAACCAAGATATGCATTGAAAGAGTCTGAGAGGATATGAAGGTGGACAGGACAACAAGCCCATAGAAAACAACTGAAACTGGTCACAGAGCAAAAGCTCTCATTTTGGTTTTGTGTGTTCCAAATGGCACCTATTAACAGCAACTTCTAAAGTACAGGGCTACGATAAAACCTCCTGCGACAACCCAGCCCGGGCCAGGGCCTTCGGGAGGTCAGCGTCACCTGAAGCCCCAGGTCTGCGTCCTCACCCAAGACTTTGAGTGCCACGTCTCTCTTGCTCTCCCCAGCCAGGTTAGTGGCTGCACAAGTGTAGAGACCTTCATCCCTCAGGTCCACCTTCTCAATCTGCAGGGCAGGAGGAAGGAGGAGGACGTGTGTCACAGGTCTGAGTGCAGGGAGCCAAATGGATATGGCAAGCGGCAGGCCTGCTGCTGAGCCCAAGGCAGTCAAGTTCAGTTCTAGGGTAGAGCTATGAACCACACACTCAGGATTCCAGGGGTTCATTGACTACGGTGTATGTGTTACCCGCCACCCCACTTACTCTTTTCAGTAGCTGCCACTCCTGGGATTTGGAACACTCCAAGGACCCTCTCTTCCTCATATCCAGCACCCCCAGGGTCTCAGTCTCCCCAGGAAAGTGAGGACCGTGTCCATTACACCCATGGGCTGCCAAGACTCCCCTCTGGGCCTCCAAGGTCCCTCTAAACTAGACCCTCCTCCACCTGTGCCCCACTGTCCCACCAACCCTAGGACTCTGGAAGGTACCTGCAGGTTCCCCCCTGAGGCTGCCAGGGGCACCCCATCCTTCCACCAGCGGAGGCTCGGGGAAGGTACTCCAGACCCTACACACTGCAGGGTCACAGGCTGCAGGAAAAGGGCTGTGACGTTCTCACCCCCAATGATGTTGACTGATGGGAGCTCTGGTGGGGAGAGGACAGGAGATCCCATGTCAGGAGAGGTCCAGAGGGTACCCAAGAACGCCTCAAAGCCCAGGGGGACTGAAGTTGGTATGGGTTGGCGTTTACGTTTAACTCCATCTTGCCCCAAAGACACTTGGTTTCATAAAAGAGCTCCAGACTAGAATCAAGACATTCTCTCAAGCAACCACACACTCATCCATTTGTTCATATACATGCAGAGCTTCCACTCTGAGCCCATATCTGCACTAGGCATAGGGATCACTGGAGACTGAGAGCAACACCTAGATAAGCATTTCCACCACAGTGGGCTACAGGCATGGACATGAGACTGGGCAGTGCCGTCACCATGGTAAAAACCAGGGAAGGCTTCCTGTAGGAAGCAGTAATTTAGCACTGCACTGAAAGACAGAGAACAATTGGACAAATAGGGACAGAATGTTCTTAGCAAAGGGAACAGCATATGTAAGCCTCAAAGGTAAGAGAGAGCTGATGTGTTTGAAGATGTAACAGAGGATCTCAGGTTCAGAATAAAGAGAGAGAATGGCCGGAGAGAAAGCTGGATCAGGGAATAAGGGCCTACAGGCAGGACAAGACAGATGACAAGTGTAACAAGTGGCTAAGACTTGTCATTCACATTCTGCCTTTCTTTGGAGAACTGCGAAGTCCAGCCAGAAACACCATTCACCAAAGACGGGCCCCAGGGCCTCCCCAGGCCTACCAAGGGTGTAGATGGCACATCCTCTGACCCTGTCCACACTGGCCTCTCAGCCAGCCCATGGCCCCAGAACCCCAGGTCTGCTCACCGTGCACAGATACCTCCACCTCTGCCCCCGCGGTGCCTGCCTCGTTGGTGGCCTGGCAGGCAAAGAGGCCCGCATGGCTCAGCTCCACGTGGTCAATGTGCAGCATGCCCCCCTGAGATGAAACCTGCACCCCAGCCAGCTCCTCAGTGGGGTGGCCGTTCTGCAGCCACCTAAGGGAGGGGAGGGGTCAGCCTAAGAGGGAGGACAGGGCCAGGCAGGCAAGCCAGGGGACCTCTCAGCACCCCATGTGCTGTTCCTTATTCCTGCCCCACCTACCCCTAAACAGACTCTCTGCCCTCACTCCCACCTCATCTGGGCCTCACTCCCTTTACGCACTGGACAGTGGGCACAGGGAAGCCGGAAGCCTGGCAAGGAAGTTCCAGGGACTGTCCCACGATGGCGGTCACCTGGCCCAAGCCTTCAGCCACCAGGAGCTGCGGGGGCACTGGAGGCAACACCCACTGCTGTACGTCTGAAGCTGAGCAACAGCTCACAACCTCCCACGCCCCCGCTGCCCTCGGGAAGGCTGAACCCTCCAGTCATCCCTTAAGTTTCCCATAAATGTTCTTCCTCCAGGAAACCTCTCAGGACCACCTCAATGTCAGATGAGGACCCCCAATCCCCCACGAGACACAGAACTCCCCAAGGGCAGGAGTTTCGTCTGCCTTCTTCCTACATTAGCCCAAACACCAAATAGCAGCTCCCAACAAATGCTTGAACATTTATTACACATGCTAAGGGAAAGGTGCTGCCCACTCCATCAGCTTGGGCCTCAATAGGTGGAAGAAAAGGTGCCTCCCATGTTGCCTGGTGGACCCAGCTCAGAGTACTGCCCTAGGCTGACAACCTCCGAGGCTGTACACAGACCCCATAATTCAACTTCCCTTAGGGCTCCTTAGGGCACCAGCATCTAAGCCCTTTGTACATTGGGGGCCGGAGTTCCAGAGCTGACTCCTTGTCAAGGGGTACTTGATCCAGTGCTCTGGACTCAACCATACCCCCTCCTAATCCTTTAAGATCCTCAGCACTGTCTCAGTTAGTGTCCTTAACTGTTGCATGCAAATGGGGGCACTAGCTCTTCTCGTCCACCCTGCATCCCCTCCAGAGACTTCAAGGAACAAGCACACAGTGGGTGTTCAGTTAATACAGGGAGAAGCGCCTACAAGCCCAGCTGGCTTTGAGTGGGTCAGTCTAGGGGCTCACCCTGCACCTCCACCGCATACTGCAGCATGGCCTCCCCTGCCGGGCTGCTGGCCACACAGCTGTACAGGCCTCCAGATGCCTCTCCCAGGCTCTCCAGCCTCAGTGTGCCGTCCGCCTCCAGCCATGTCCCATTGCTCTCTGCCAGGGGCAGCCCGTCATGGTGCCAGGAGAGGGTGGGGTGCGGGCGGCCTCTGGCCACACACTCCAGCGCCAAAGGCCTCCCGGCCACAGCTTTCACCAGGTGTGGTCCTCGGTCAGCGCCCTCAATGACGGGTGGGACTGGAAAAGAGAAACAGGCCTGCTCAGAGACCAGAGCCCGAAAGGGGCCAGGAGCTGAAGATGATCACTTAGCCAGATAGGCCTAGGTAGGTCCCTTGCTGATCCCACCTCACATGAAACGCTCCCATCCCTCACCTAGCTCTCTAACCCGAACCTGCTGGGATATCCCTTCCTCACTGTCTGAGCTGGGGAACTCTGTGGCTTAGTTATAAGTGCTAACAACCCAAAGGCACACAGTTCAGATCCACCAGCTGTTCCAAAGGAGAAAGACGGGTAATCTCTCTTCCTGCATGATTTACAGTCTCTGAAAACCCTGGAGGTTCCCACTCTAGAGAACATAGCAATATTAACAACTCTCTGGGCTGGACGCAGCGCCTCTGCCCCCTGGTGGTACTTCAGGGCACTGACTGTCATCAGCACTCTGGCCTCCACTCCATTCCCCACGAGAGCTGACCCTGTGAGCTCTCAGAATCAGAACGATGGCTTGTCTATATATGTGTCTCCAATACCTGACTGCAGTGGGTTTCAATAGCTGCTGAACTCAGTGTAGTGGGCTCCCCTCAGGTCCAAGGCCAGAACTGCTGTTCCCAGAGGTTCCCCCCTCTAGTCTGAGGAAACGGACAACTAAGATGGACCCAAGTCCAGCTGATTCCTAACACAGCCAGCAATGGTCTAGGAGGACCATCTGCTCAGAACCTCCCATTGGCCACCAGACAGGGTAATGTCTGTGCTCCCCTGGGGAGGTCCCTCAGCTGCTGAGCTGATGGAGTCTTTATTGGGGGCCAAGAGCAATGACAGACTGGACTAGGCTTCTGAGCCTTGTCCGGGTCACAGACTCCTTTGTAAATGTGATGGAAGACACATACAAGGACATTTTCCATTCCCAGGGGTCCTCAGCTCCATAAGGCCCTGGGCTGACAACCTCTGAGGCTGTACACAGACCCCATAATTCAACTTCCCTTAGGGCTCCTTGGGGCACCAGCACCTAAGCCCTTTGTATATTGGGGGCCGGAGTTCCAGAGCTGACTCCTTCTCTACATTCTGGCCTCTCAAACCTATCTGGACATCGTCCACGTTCCCCCATTCAGCCCCTTTTCCTTCATGTTCTTTATGTGTCTGCAGGGTCAAAGCTCTGACAGTCAGGGCAATGTGGAGGCCAGTGTGCCATCCACAGTCAGACCCACTCAGCACGAGCCCAACTCCAGCACCTTCTGGTAGGATGGCCCTGGGGGAGCCATTTCGCCTGCTGGACCCCACTGTGCTCATCTGAAAATGGGTACACAAATGGAGCCCCTATAGAGTGTTAAACTGAAAACAAACACAACAGTTGCCTTTGAGTTAATTCTGACTCATGACACCCCCCTCCCAGTGTATAAACCATGCTCCACAGGGGTTCTAACACTGGGTGCTTTAGAAATAGATCACCAGGCACCTCTGGAGAGATTCCAACTACCAGCCTTCCAGTGTTTGTGATAGTTGTGTATCATCAAGTTGGAACTGACTCATAGTTAACCCTACAGCGGGTTCTCAGAGGCAGTAAATCGCATGGGGGAGACTGCGCATCCTTCTTCCGTGGAGCAGCTGGAGGACTTGAACCATGTGCCTTTGCATCCACAGCACAATTTCTCACAATAAGTCATCAGAGCTCCTTAGCCTTTGAGCGAGCAGCCATCAAATTAGTTATCCACCCACCCAGACACCTATACCATATCAGAAGGTGGATCAGGTACGTCAATGCCATAAAGTGCCTTGTAGGGTATAGCTCATGGTAAATGGTTAAATAAAAGTGCTTAATTATAGTAGTGGTCATGCAGGTCTCTATATGGCTTAGTGAAAAATCACAAATCAAGAGAGGAGGAGCCCTGCATTCTACACTCTTCTATGGACTCCTAGACAAGCCCCCACCTCTCGAGGTCTCAGTTTCCTTGTCTGCTTGGGGGAAGCTGAATAAGCTGAGACAGTCCTTGACCCTGGACATCTCAGTCCCATTACCCTGTTAACCTCTGACTGTTGATTGCTGATTTGGGGGGAAGGGTGGAGACCACCACGGCCCACAGTCCCACCCATGGCCATCCCAGCTGACCACCAGTATTCACAGATGCGACCCTGGTCCACTCACCATACACCTCCAACCTGGTGGTCTTCTCTGCTGCCCCCACAGCGTTGCTGGCCTTGCAGGTGTAGACGCCGGCATCCGAGCCCTGGGCCTTCCCCAGCTGCAGCTGCCGGCCACCCCTGCTGGAGACTGCCTGGGCACTGAGGGGAAGTGGGGCCCCGTCTTTGAACCAGGTGATGTCAGGTGTGGGGACTCCCCGTGCCTCACACAGGAACCGCACTGGGTGGTCCTTCATGACGGCCACCTCACTGGTCTCGTTGGAGCCCCAGATGGTGGGCAGTGCTGAGGACAGTGGTGTGGGAGGAGTCACCAGGAGACATGGAGGGCGTGGATGGGGAAGATGTGAGAAAGTAGCAGACAGACAGGAAGGCCAGCTTGAGGACATACTGACATGGTCATCACAGGACATGTGGAAGGAGGGGAGCAGGGTGTAGTTTTGGGCCCTGGACCCCACTCTGCCTCTAGCTCACTGGATAGCCCAGGACAGGTCACCTTCCCTGTCTGGTCCTCAGTTTCCCCAGCCAAGTGAGGGAGGCAGCTAGATAAGGCCTTCCCACATCACGACACCTAAGGTGATTTTAGATGACAAGTGACCGCGACATGAAATGACATTGACTCTCAAAAAGGAAACACTGTGCCCTGTCCAAGTCCCTTTCCATCCAGGTTGGGATAAAAGGAGGAAAGTGATCGATTGGGTGCAATGTCTCTATCTTTCTAGCACTTGCTGCTCTCTTCAGCCAAGCGCACAGACACAGGCTCAGCGCCCTCTGCCGGCAGCTCCTCTGGCAGGGATTTAACACACTGATTTTGAGACAAGGGAGCTTTGCTGGCATAGACCCCAGGAAGCTGTACTGCTAACCAAAGCTGGGCCTCTCCGGAGGTTCGAATCCACCAGCAGCTCCTGGGGGGAAAGACTGGAAATCTCCTCTCATGTGACCTACAGGCTAGCTAAGTTGGTCCCAAACTCGATAGCAATGAGTTTATGGTTTGTTTTTGTTTTAAGCTTTTTTTGGGACAGTTGTTTTTTGTTCCCTTTCATGTATACCAACTGACCTTGACTTCTCACCTATAGCTGAAATATTACAAAATCCTTTTAAATAATTGTAAAGAAATTATTTGCTTTAAAGTTAAAATAATAATCACACCAAATGGCATCAGAAACCATATGTAGTAGGGATAGGAGCAACAGGGTTTGGCTGAAATTCCCTCTAGGCACCCCCACCCTGGCTTTCTTGAACTGGGGGCTCCCCTATCCTTTTTCTAAGGCAGGAAGCTTGGTGTACTATCCATGGTGTGGGGTAGGGTCTAGGCAGGGAATCAGGAGAGAGCTTACCGTGTACTTGGAGCTGAAAGTCCTTGGTCTGCTGGCCAGCTGGGCTGAAAGCCACACATTGGTACCGTCCCTCATCCCCCAAGTGACTTCTGGGGATCCTAAGAACCTGGCCGCCCTCCAGGAGCTGGATGTGAGGGTCTCCCAGTAGGATGGGCCTGGGGGACAGTCAAGAGAAGGCTATCAGTGAGGCCAGGCCATGGCAGGGGCAGGCTGCCCAGGGGGAACCTTGGTAAACCCGGGCAAGGACCAGCGCTTCTGTCCTCCATGGCCAGGCATGGAGTGAGAGAACAGGATAGGGGACGTCAGAGTGAGGCATCTCAGGACCAATTTAGGAAGTGCCCCCTCTCAGGACCACACAGAAGTCCTTTATATCTTAGTCGCAGACCAGGCCTCACACAGGTTTCAAAAGCTCTGCTGAATCTTATCTAGTTTGAAAGCAGATCACTGGTTGTGTGGGGCTATGGGTAGGAGCCAGGAACTGATGACAAAGAAGGAAAGGTGAGGCAGGTGCATTCTAGCAGGTTCCCCGGCCCCCAGAGTCCACCGTCCTAGTGCCCCTCAGTCCACACCACCCAGCCTGGGCACCACCCTCATCTGCCCACCAGGTCCCACTCACTGCCCATCCTTGGTCCACTCCACCTGAGGCGTGGGGACCCCTGAAGTCTGGCACTCCATCTCTATCTCACCACCTGCCAAGCCCAGCACCTCCTGGGCAGCCCCGGCTCCGAGCACAGAGGGTGGAACTGGGGGAAGGCAGAGTAAGGGGTGACAATGTTGGGGTCTTTTGCACATGCGCTACCCTCAAACCTGGCGCACTCTTCCCAGGCCTAACCATCCTTCCCACTGGGTCCTTCCCAGGACCACTGGGCTGTAACACCCTCCTGTAGCGCTGACACAATGGTAATCACTTGATTAATGGTACGACTATCCAATGCCCCCTACCATCTGGCCCCTTGAGGACAGCCCAGGTCTGTCCTTAAGTCTGTCAAGGTTCCCTGTGTCCCCTCAGCACAGGGCAGCACAGGGCCTGGCACATGGTGGTCAATATAAATAGCTGAACACACCAGGGAAGGGTTCCAGGCCTCGAGCCTTCCTGTCACCCCCTTCCAACTCTCCCCAAATCTGCTTTCTCCTCCTGGCCCCGGGAGCACTCACTGAGCACCAGCAGCTCAAAGTCCCTCTGGGCTGTCCCAGCCTGGTTCTCAGCCCGGCAGGAGTAGAGGCCAGAGTCCCCCTCCTGGACCCTGGGGAAGTGGAGGGCCCTGGACCCAGGCAGGACATGGTGGCTGTCAGCTTCAGGGATCTGGTGGATGAAGTAGAGGGAGCTGGTGAGTCACCCGCTTTAGTGACAAGGCACAGGGTGTCCAAGAAAGGGAAGGGACTTCTTGGTCAGCGCCCCACCCTCTCCACATGCAGACCCCCCTAATCTGAATCACACCTCCTCCCTGCCATCCCCAAAGACATCTGTCCCCTCACTGAACACATGTAGAACCCATCCAGAAGACCCTTCCTCTATACAAGACACACCCCCAAGGCCCAGCCACCTGTACTAGGGGTCACCCACCAGCTGCCCATCCTTGAACCACTTGATCTCGGGGGCTGGGAAGCCATTCACATCACACTCCAGTGTCAGGGACTGTCCAGCCATGCCTGACACGTTGGCCTTGTATCCATCTTCCCGGATGCTGGGGGGCACTGAGGACCAAAGAGAAACAGGAGGTGCTCCCTATCCCAAGAGCCACACCCTCCTGGGCCTCACCTGGACCATCCTCCATGGCCTGGACAGGAGCCCCCAGCCCCTCTGTCCCCAGTGTCTCTGGGCCTGTCACCCAGTCCCATGTCAGGTTGTGGCCTGGGGGTAACATCTCTCTCAGGACGTCAAACAGGAGGCCACAGCAGCTGTGCTGGGATGGACAAATTCTCAGCTGGCCTGGCCACAGGTGTCCAACCTCTCTGACATTCAGCTTTGCAAGATACTGTGACCTCAGTTCTTATACCTACATCCCTGTCCCCTAGAAGGTCCCCTGTCAGATTCTAGAAAACTGTCCAAGATACTCAAGGTGATGAACAAGTTGCTAGTCATGGGGAAGTTCAAGGTGACCATTGAGAGTCAGTAAAAGCGACAGAGGCTCTGATGCAGCCGACTGTATCTGTGTTAAGGCAAAGGTGGAGGGTTCCCCTCTCTGTCCACCCCACAGGTTAACTTTGGAGCTCTCCACCAAAATGCGGCTCTTCTTAAGAAGCCAATCTGCATATTAAGGCATCTTAAAAGCTATTTATGGAGTTACCCCCATCTCCTTGGAGATGTCTCTGGGGAAGCGGCACCCAGTATAGCTTGTCACTCTCCCAATCTCCTCAAACCCTCCCCTTCTGGGTTCTCTGGGGCAAGGACCTGAAGTTTCCCCTAACACTGGTAACCGTGGGCACCCCCAACATGTCCCTGGGAACCCCAGCATGCCCATAGACACTCCCAGAATGACCCTGGGCACCCACAGCATACCCTTGGGCACCCCCAGCCTGCGCCTGAACACCCCAACATGCCCCTGGGTACCTCCAGCATGCCCCTGAACACCCCAGCATGCCCCTGGCACCCCTAGCCTGCCCCTGAACACCCCAGCATGCCCCTGACACCCCAACATGCTCCTGGGCATCTCTGGCATGACCCTGGGTACCCCCAGCATACTCCTGGGCACCCCCAGCATGTCCCTGAGCCTAGCATTCTAAGGACCTCTGGCCAAACCAGGACATGTAATGTGGGTGAAAGCCAGTGCCCTGGTCCTGATGGCAGTCACCACACAGCCTCCCAGCTCTAGGACCCCTGCTCACCATAGACCACCAGCTTGGCCCTCCTGGACACAGAGCCTGCCTCATTGGTGGCCTGGCACTCATAGTCCCCACTGTCGGAGGGTGAGACTGAGGCCAGGAAGAGAGATCCTACATCCGTCACTGCCACACCTGGCCGGCCCAGCAGGGGCTCCGAGGAGAGGCCCCTCCTCCAAGTGACCTGGGGCGTAGGTGTGCCTAGCGGGACACACAGGATTGTCAGCGTCACACTCACCCACCCAGTTCCACACTGTTCTCCCCACAAATCTCCTTTGCTAACATTGCCCCCGCTTCAGTACTTGGTTCCGAGCATCTCTCTGACCTCCGGTCTGGGAGCTACCTCCCTCCCTAAACTCAGAACGCCCGTAGGGGCTCACCAGCCAACCGAGGGACCCCCACAGCCTTTCTCTTCTCACTGAGGCCCTATCAGGCTCCTCATTTATAACCACGCCCCCACCAGCACACCCAACTGGTCCTGGGCAGCTTTTTAAAACCTGCTTTTTTTGGGGGAGTGGGGGTGTTCAACCACTTACTTTCTAACGTGCTGCAGAATACACAACACATAAGGCTTTAGGTTTTATCATCTTCTCCTGCCATGAGATTCCACAACAGAGGTCTTGATCGAGTTGTCTGCTGTACTCCAGCCCCAGCACAGCAGAAACCAGGGCTTATCCTTGGACTAAACCCCTCAACCTCTCCTAATGTCCTAATATTGCTTCAAGGCCATAAACTACTAACTCTTAGTGTTTGCTGACCTCAGCATATGATAAAATTCCTAGTTTCTATGGAAACTAGGGCCTAGAGCAGGCCAGCCTAAGCCGGCAGACTTCCATAGCATACTCAGAAGCTCAATGTGTGAGTAATAGTTGACCTTTGCCCAAAGTTACCTGTGGAGCCGAGATTCAAACTAGGAGCTGTGACCATTGGGCATGCAACCAATCACCATGATCCCTCCCCTGTGGCCTAGTTCTGAAGCCTCACCTCCTCTCATGAATAAACATGATGTCCTCCCCCACCCCCCACCTCAGAGTTTCACAAAAATTCTGCCTTCTTTATTCAGAGCCTTGTTGCCTAGCAGGGATGGCCCATCTTTGCCCCTCTGCAAAGGCAAGTTCTCATTATCAAATTTCTTGCTTGCAGGAAATGCTCTGGCCTCTTCCTTTGTCACTCTTGCTAGTGGAAGAAAGAACCTGCAATTTGGAAATCTTGCCACAAACTTGGTGGCATCAATCACATTCTTCACTCTGCAGCCTTCTTTTCCTAAGGTGTTCTTCCTTCACTAACATAAACTCACAACCTGCTAGGGTACCATCTAATCTCTCAGGTTGCTGTTGTCCATTTGACCCCATTTAGACATTCTTTAAAATGCTCAAGGCATATATTTTTTTTCACTAGTTAAGTTAAACAATCTTTTGGTTTCAAGAAGATTTGAGGGCATATTGTTTATTTTATGGTTTAGATGATCTCCAGGCAGTGGTTTAAATTAATCCAGCCTCTACAGCTTCAGGAAGTCTGGAGTCCATTGGAATTGGAAGCTCTGTTCTGCATTTTCCTCCTTTTGATCAAGATTCTTCTATAGCATCTTTAATCAAAATATAACCCAGTTCTTCTGGTCTCTGGCAAAGGAGGCAGTTTTTCATGGAGACAATTAGCCATGCATTCCTGTTCCTTCTATTCCTCTCTTTTCTGTGCTACTCCAGGCAAAAAGAGATCAATTATTATGTTCTGTAGAGTTTTCATTCAGTGTCTGATGTTTCAGGAGCAGATCACCAGACCTCAGGGAGTACAGGTGACCTCTTCTACTTGAGAGAATGAATGAAAGAGCCTGCCATGCTCCGTGTTCTGTATTATGCCATTGGACGATGCTCTTAACCAGTGGTGGACTCCAACTCTGCCCAGCCTGTCCACTTAGCTGGCCCACAGATCCCTTTTCAAACACCTGTCATGGTGTTTGAAACACCTGTCATATTGTCTCAGCTCAGCCTCTCAGCCCCACATGGGCTGAGTGGATGGACATGTGGTCACCTAACTTGGCTGGATGTACAGCCGCCACTCTGAAAGCCCAGTCCCTGGAGTACGGCCGGACACACTGTATGTGTTCGCACCAGTGTTGAACGAGGGGTGCAACCATCCAAGCAGCCCACAGGTGAGAGGCAGAGCTTCCCAGGGGTCAGAGCAGAGTTCCAGTGCCCAACTGTTTGGGTCCCACTCTGCTTGCCCCCCAGTCCTCAGGACAGAAGCCTTTGAACTGTGCATACTCAGCCCTTGCCTGCCCTCTCATCCTCTAACCCTGGGCAGGTGGAGAGGTTGCAGGGGTGGCTAGATGGCAGGGCTGCTCCTTGAATTCGCGTCAGCATCCTTGGCCCCTCCATCACATCACACCCAACACTGTCATCCCCAGTCAGCAGGACTCCCAACAACTGCTAATACTAATTATCATTAATAGAACCCCTTGCATTATCTGTCATCTCTCTGGCAGCCTGGGGCACTCTCTGTAAACAAATACTGGAAAGGTGTCAATGGAGGGAGAGGTAAGCTGGCCCCTTGGAGTGGGCATGAGAGGGGGAGTCAAGCTGTGGCACCAGGCAGTATGCTAAGTGTCACTTCTTTCAAGAAGCTCCTCTGACCCCTCTTATCCTTAATGTGCTAGAAACACTTCTCCTGTACACTATCTGCCTCTGGGGTGAGGGAAAGACCCAGGACCATGCCATTCTACTCTCTGTATCTTCAGGCAAATTATTTAATATAGCCATGCCTGCTTTCTGGGAAATTCTCTGCCAAGTTCCTTTGTACCTGCCCAGACTGGAATCCACTATTTTCTGGGGCTTGCTCAACACATTGTGCATGCACGCAGATGGGCACAAACGTGCGCGTGCACACAAACACGTGCGCGCGCACATACACACACATCCATGACCCTCCTAGCTCCTTCAGTTTCCTTGAGATCTTGTCCCACCCACCCGCTTCCCAGATCCCTGGGAACCAGGACTTCAGAGTTACTGGGATGAAAGGGTCCGTGATGACTGGATGCCTACTTGAAAGAGGCCTTTGATTTTCAACTCTAGAATTTCTTTTTAAACTCAAATCCAAAATATACCTCTGATCGTGAAGTGCCCTGAAGCACTAAGAGTAATCTAGAGACCACAGATGAAAAAAATCACCCAGAGCTCACAACTCTCTCTCCATTTTACACTGGCCAAGGGCTTGTCGTGGTCAGGGGTTAGCAGGACGGGGCTCAAGTGATGCTGATGAGGCTGAAGTTTGGGCTTCTGACCGGAGAGCTCCTCCTCCCTTCTGAGAGCCGAACGTTTGCTTGCTGTTACCAGAGGCCGACACAAGGTGGCACCATCGTCACGGGAGTGGAACCCCGAGACCACAGAGCTGGGCAGTCTGGGATCTGGGCAACCTGCAGGTTTCCAGAACTCCACTTAGGGTGCCTACCTCTGCCCGCCTCCTGCCCAAGGTGTGCTGGGCACCTGGTCGTCTCTCTTCCCTGCGTCTTAGAAGACTACTCCCAAGCAAGAAAAAGCTGGGATCCAGCCAGGGTTTTTTCCTAATCTCTCACTTGCTACAGTTCATCCTACTATGCCTACAATGCCACCCCCTCACAAGGAGGCAGAATGCCCTCAAGGGCTCATAAGCCAGTTGAAGAAATAAAACGCCCATACATGATTATCCTAACGCCAAAACAAACAAACCTGCTAAGGAGTCGGATTAGTGGAGTGATTAGATAAACTACATTTATCCATTCCACACATTTCCATGAGCTCCTGCTACACACTGAGCACAGCTCTAGACCTGGACCACCTCATATTGTCCCACTAACTTGTCTCAGAACCAGTAATATTCCACTATGCGATGGGGAAACTGAGGCACAGAAGGCAGTGTAAACTGTCCCAAGCTACCCAGGCAGGAAGGGCTAAAGCAGTGTTCAAGGTTTTGAGCAGTTTCATGCAGAGGTGTCTGTCTCTGGTCCACACTGTACTGCCCCAAAGGGAGCCCCTGAGGACTTACTCCAGGACCAAGTGAGCCCATCCTTTGGGAGTGAGTTAGAGCTTGGGGAAAGGCCAGGACTACCAAGCCCCAAAGACCTGTGGGCCTTCCTCAGCCCCAGTCAGCATAGTTCCCCAGCACCCCTGCCTCAAATCTCCCCCAGCAGGATGGTAAGGGGCAAAGGGTTAAAGGGACAGGCAGGGCTGGGTCACACACAGTTATCACTCTCAGGCACTCATGTAGCCTTCTGGGCTTGGCCATGCCTAATAAAAGGGGGCCAATGCTAATTCCTAACCTATAGGGTGTTGGCTGTGGTGAAACACTTGGCATTTCCCTGATAAGGACCCAGCTTCCTTAATCCTCCTTAATGTATGGGTATTACCCACAGTATCTGACCCATCACTGATGAGAACAGGAACGTGAGCTGAGGACTTGGGGCTCCTGGCACATCCCTTGTCTCCCCAGCCCACTCTGGCTGCAGCCTCACCTCTGGCAGGGCATGGCAGGCTGGCATTCTCTCCGGCCACTCGTTCCAGCAGGCCATTGGTCTCATCGGGTCCCCAGTGTGGCGGCTCTGTTGACAGGCAACACGACCACAAGAATGGCACTTCCCCAAGGACCCAGGGCTAGCAGGAGGGGCACCCCTTTCCCCAGAACACCACCAAGGTAGGAGAGGCACAAGCCCCATGGCCCAGTCCTCAGAGTCAGTGGGGCGAGCTTGCTCCTGTCAGGCAAGTCCCCAGGACCACGACTCCACAGGCGGCGAAGGCTGAACCTGGGCTTCCAGCTACAAGGGGCGAAGCTCTGTCTTTACCCTTCTGTGCCTTTCCAGAAGCTGCTTTACAACTTCATTTTAAATTAATAAACATTCCTAATAGTGAAAATTGCTAGCTGTACCATCAATCTAGAGCGTTGTCCTGGTGTGTTTCATACATGCTCTTGTTGACACTCATATATTGTTGTACCATTTTACAGATGAGAAGGTCAGCAAGTTTAGATGCTGTCTGGTTAGTAAGAGTCTGCACTTCGGCTCACTGGCCAGGAGTAAGCCTTCCATGCGTCTCAGGTGGAGGGAAGTGAAAGTGGGGTGCCCTCTAGTGGTGGCTTAGAGAATCGGTCTGTCAGTGCCCCTGGGGCTGTTCAAGACTCTCAGATACTGGGCCGGTCTCATAGTTGCATTTAAGGGTGAGGAGGAGACTGTGCCCAAGGGGGTCCCAAGAGGACAAGAGATCTGATCCAAGAAGGAAGGTGCCGATAGGGCCAGAGCCTGGAGCAGCCAACAAGCATCTCTTATCCAAGCTGTGATTGGAGGAGATGGAGTTGGGGGGGGGGGTTGGGGGGGATGCTGGGTTTGTGGAGTACTCACCCAGCACCCTGAGCTCCAGCTCCCATTCGTCCACCCCAGCGCTGTTGGAGGCCTCACAGCGGTACATCCCGGCATCAGAGGCCTTGACGGCTGCAAAGTGGACAGAGCCTTCGGACACTCGACCAGGTAGATCCACGCCATCCTTGGACCAGCTCAGCTGAGGCTCTGGGTTGCCCTCGGCCGCACAGTTCAGATCCAGGGCTTCTCCTGCGAGCACCTTCAGCACGCGTGGGCCTGGCTGCACCTGAGGAGGGGCTGAAAGGTCCAAGGAGGGGTCAAAGCGGGGAGCCCAGATACCCAGCCTTTAGAGCGGCCTTGTCTGCTGTGTGTTCCCCACTTCTCAGCAGCAAAATCATCTTGTGGGGCAATCTAGGGCTGCTGATGCCTCACCTCTATCAGGAAGGCATTAGGACACCCTATTTCTGGACCCCCAAAAGTGAGCAGAACCTGGTTTTTACGGAGCACAGCCACCGTCAGGAGTCACTCCTCAGTGCTTATTACGTTGTTTCGTACCATTGAGTCTGAGCCAGCTCATAGCTGACGCTCCAGTGGAGTGTCAGAGGCTGTAAATCAACCGCTCACCTTGTTTATTTTGCTTTCAGATTCACTTGAGGACCTGGAAGCATCCAGCTGAGTGCATACACAGGGTAACTGTGTATGCAGGCTCAGAGACAGGCTCAAAGTCACATAAAAAGGTCAAGAGGCAGCACACACAGAGATGAAGTCCCAAGTTCATGGTGGAGTGTGATGGCAGTGGTCTGAAGCTGGGCTCAGTGCCTCACAGGCTGGGATCCTGCACAAGCGCTCATGCCAGCTGGAGCCTCAGTTTCCCCTTCATCACAAAGCTGTCTCAAGGATGACGTGACACTGACGTGGCACTAAAATGATCAACTCAGAGCCCGGTGCCTGGCAGGTGCTTCATAGGTTGGTCTAGAATCATTCTGTCATTCTCACCTTGTTCCTCCCCTTCCTTCAGCCATGGGGTGGGGTGGGGGGTGTTTTATGTTTCATTCTCCATCTCATTTGGTTCTTCCTAAGGGTAAGCAACGTCGGGCCCATTTTGCAGATGAGGTGGCTTGGGCTCAGAAAGGTTATGTGAGCAGCCAGAGCCATGCACTCAGTAATCGGGCAGCGGTGCGGGCAGTTCCGGATCTGTGTGGCCAGGAGCCCAGGTAGTTGCTCCAGAGGTGAGACCAGGTGCGCGTAGGTGCATTTTTAGGGCCAGGTGCATTCTTAGGACCACTTAACTTTTTTTAAAATTAATTTTAAAGAAAGCTTACAGAGACTTAGGGTTTCTATCCCTTCATTGTTGCAATTTTCTCCTTGCCCACCCCTTTTTTTTCTCTTTGAAAAGTAAAAGAAAAATTCTTTCATTGCTATACAACCCCTCCCCCCAAGTCCACTCCAATATGCAGCCTTCATTCTGGACTCCTGTCATGATAATAATATCTAATCACAAATCCCTAGTAAACAGTTCTCTCTCATCTGTTTCAATGCAGTATACATTATTTGTCCCATCTTTCTCAGTCTTCCCTCAACCCTGATGTCCATCTCATTTTACAACAGTGGCCCTATGTAATATTTGTCCTTTTGTGACTGAGATAATTCACTCAGCATAATGTCCTCCAGGGTCACCCATTTTGAATAATATTGTATGAGTTCCTTGTTTTTCAATGCAGCATAGTATTCCATTGTGTGAATATACCACAGCTTCTCTATCCATTCATTTGTTGATGGGCAGTTAGGTTGTTTCCAACTCTTTGCTATTGTGAACAAAGCCACAATAAACATTGGTGGGCATATATATATGCTTGGGTGACAGTTATGGTTTCTTTAAGGTATATTCCCAGTAGTGGAATTGCTGGGTCAAATGATATTTTTATTTGCAACTTTTTGAGAAAGCACCATACAGCCTTTCATAGTCGTTGCACCATTTTGCACTACCACCAGCAGTGAACAAGTGTTCCAGTTGCCCCACAACCTTGCCAGCATTTGATGTTTGCTGTTCTGTTGAATTTTGCTCTTCTGACTGGGGTGAGATGATATCTCATAGTTGGTTTGAGGGCCACTTAGCTTTGAGTGCTGCTTGGAAGACCAGAACATGGATCCTCAGCCACCAGGGGCACTGCACTGAGAAGCACTCACCCATTTCTCAGTTCCTCAGGTGAGAATTTGGTCCCTCTGCCTGGACTCCTTACCTGAAGACCCCAGGACATAGGGTCCACGTGCCTCCTCTCACTCACTTGCTGAAGACACCAACAGTGGCAGCACCATGCTGGGTGCCTTACGTCACTGACATCTCCTAACAACTACAAGACTGACATTATTCAGGTCTCCGCTTTAAAAGGAGAAAATTGACACTCAGAGGGGATAAGTCACTGTCAGTGGCAGAGCCAGAGTTTGAATCCAGCTCACTGCCTGCCTCATATCTCTCTCAGGTTGGCATTTCTTCCTCTCGGGGCCTCGGCCTTCCCACCTGTGACACGGATCATTAGTTTAGACTGGGTGTTAGCAAACTATTCCTGTAAATATTTTAGGCTTTATGGGACAGACAGTCTGTTTCTATTACTCAAATCTGCTGTTGTAGTGAGAAAACCCTCACAGACAATACATAAGCAGATGCGTGTGGCTGTGTTCCAATAACACCTTATTTATGGACACAGACATTTGCATTTCATATTTGTCCTTTTTTTTTTTCAGTCATTTAAAAATGGGAAAGACCATTCTTCACTGGAAGGCCACACAGAAGTGGCTGGCGGGCTAGGTTTTAGTTGCAGTTTGCCCCAGGTATCTTAGATGACCCCTTTGGGCTCTAAGATGACAAGCCCCCTGCCCCTTTGATGGGACCATTCACACTGAATGGCTTCCTTTAAGGGAGCTCCCAGGGTATAGTTCATAGGCGTTGTCCTAACCTAAAGGCTGGGAGTTCCCAGTAGTTCAAATCCACCAGTAGCTCCATAGGAGAAAGGTCCAGTCTCCTCCCATGGCAACTTCTAGCCTTGGAACCCTGAGAGAAGGTGGCTATGAGTCAAAGCTAACTTGATGGAAGGGAGGGAGGGAGGCTTCCTGGGAGAGGGTCCTGGACACCCAAGGACTGTCCGCTGGGGGGACCCCAGGCCTTCTGAACACTGCCCTCAAAGATGAAAGTGCCCTTGGAGGGAGTAAAGCATGATGCCTGGTACCCAGCTGGCACTCATTCAGCGGTAGCTGTTGTCAGTGCGCCAAACCCCTTGGCTGGGGATTGGAAAGGGCCTGTGTGGGGACAGCAGGAAGGAGCCATGATGGCATAGGGCATTATGTGACAGGCTGCTAACTGGTTTGAATCCACAAGCCACTCCACAGAAGAAAGATGAGCCGGTCTTCTGTTCAGATGTACAGCCTTGTAAACTCGACAGAGCAAGCTCTGGTAAGGAATTGTGCTGATAATGCAAAGGTACACGGTTCAAATCCACCAGCTGCTCTGAGGGAGAAAGATGGGCAATCTCCTCCTATGTGATTTATTGCCTCTGGAAGCCCACTGGGGGTCAGCTATGAGTCAGGTCTGACTTAATGGTACACAACAACAACAACAACAACAACAACAACAAACTCGACGGCGGAGTCAACTCAACAGCCGAGGTTATAATTTTTTGGTTTTAGGTGCACAGGGTTTCAGAACGGCCTCTGACGAGCTTCTGCCTCTTTACACCCCCCACTCTGGCCTCCTGTGACTGGGCCCACACTCTGTGCAGAGATGCTCACAGATCCCCACCCTCCCACTGCACACCTCCCAGGGCCCCTCCCAAGCCCCAGGTGTCCTGTCACCCACGGAGGAGCAGGGCCCCGCATGCTGGGAGCAGAGTCTGGAGGGAAAGGCCCAGGTCCTACCTTGCACCTTAAGGATGTAGCGTCTGGAGGTGGACCCTGCAGGGTTACTGGCTGTACACTGGTAGTGACCACTGTCATTGACCTGGACCTGGGTCAGGTGTAGGGAGCCAGATGGGAGGAGGTCATGCCTGCAGCAGGAGAGGGACATTGGTAAGACCCCAATCACCCAGGCTCCTCTGCAAAGGACTCAAGACCCTGCTCAAACCAGTCACCTCTCCCAGGAAGCCTTCCAAGACTACATCCATTCTCATAGTGCGGACATCTGGGCCTTACTTAGGTTCAGCCCTCAGAACTTAACCTGCCCTCCATTCCTACACACACACATACCCTTTGCTTCCCTGAGCCAAGGCTGGAGGGCTGCCAGGCATGCTAGGGCCCACCCCTGCTGGCTGACAGGCAGAGAGCAGTAGATGAGGGTCTCACTGATTTGGGAGTGAGTTCACATTCTGAACTCTTCCTAGCTGTGTGTGGTCTTGGGCAGGTTGTTTTACCTCTGGGAGCCTCCATGTTTTCACCTGGAGAATGGGGACAGGGTCAGCCCCTGGAGCTGGGGAAGAACCCACTGTGTGCCTGGCAAAAAGCCTGGTGCCTGTTCAAGGTGTCACACCTGCTCATTGCCAGCCACAGCACTGCATGGTGGGGTCAAGACCCCCGGGCTGGGAAGAAGTCGCCAGCCCCCAGACCCTCTGCTCTGAGTCCCCAAGCCTGCCTGGTTCTCAAGACTTCTGCTTGTTCTCTTGCCTGGATCATCTAGATGGCATTCTAGGTGGGAGCTGTTGAAGCCCCACTCCATCGACATGACCCCCACCTCAAATGAGCCCATTTTGCTGAAGTCACTTGGCTCCTTTTCCACAGGAACCTCGACCCCCAGCCAGACTCCTGTATCTGGGCCAGACCCCAAGGGGCCCCTGCAGACATGATGTCACCAGCCCACATGTGTTAGCTCCCTGCAGTTCTGGCCTCCAGAAAACAGGGAGGACAGCTGTGACCATTGACCCTGCTTGGCCCCAAGAGTTAGCAAAGCCAGTCCTCTGGCCTCTCACCTATCAGAGGTCACCAGATGGCTCTGGGTTCCAGTCCTAGTACCCATCTCACTTCCTGTCGAGCCCCAGCATCCTCCTTTGCACCCCACTTCACACAGTTGCAAGAACCATATAAGATGTTGCAAGCAAAGGTCAAGGAACATAACATAGTTATCAAACTTGCTATGTGACCTGGAGCTACTTGCTTTCCTCTGCTGGGCCTCAGTCTCTCCATGTGTGACCTGGGGGACCAATCCCCTTGCCCAGTGACTCCCTCCATCAGTTTGTTCCAAACATCTGTTGCAGGATTACCCTCCAAACTGAGAGTCCTCTCTCCCACTAGCAAGAATGACAGAGTGGGAGACACAACTTGTCACATGAGCAAGGAGTTTATTCAAAGAGGAAGTAATTTTGGGTGAAATTGTTACATTCCCACCCAGTGTTGCTCCTCCACCACAGACCTTTCCATACGCTGCCTTTTCTTTTCTTTTTTTTTTTTTGCTGCCTTTTCTAATCATTGGCATTCATGCCTGAAGGAGTCACTTGCCCCTCACAATCGTCATACTAAGAAGATGAAAGTGTGTGAGCCAGAAACTTCACACCTTTCCCCCTCTTCATTTAGATAGTCGATTTCTAATTTGCCTGTCCCTCTCAGACCAGTTGGGAGAAAGATGGGCCACCTCCTCACATGCAGCTTACAGCCTTGGGAACCCAATAGAAGGTCCGCTATGAGAGTCAGTTCTGACTCCACAGTAATGAGCAAGGGCATGAGTGATCAAAACAGTACTCTGAGGAGACAAGCGTGTTCCTTTCTCTAAAGAGTCTTCTGTCCAGTTAGAATTTTGAATGTTTACATCCACAAGCCAAGTCCCGTCTAGGGTAAGCCATCCGACTGCCGTCACAGTGGAGCAGCTAGTTGTGTTCTGTCCAGCACATCCCAAGCCATCGACACAAACTGCAAACTCAGAAATCCACTTTCCTGCGTTTTAGACTGACTGGTCCCTTTACTCTCCACCTTAGCCCCATGCATGGGCTAAATCAACAGGTCAGGAGTTCTCATGACTCCCTGAACATTAGACAGTAACCCCTCTTCCTTAGCAGCTGTGCGTGCTAGGTCAGCAGATGTCAATGTAAAACGTGAAGAGCTCACCCCTTCAATGCTGTGTTCTCCCTCCTCTGCTCACCGGGTGGACCCCGCTGGTGGTCACTATGAGCCAGCACGGCGGGTTGCCTGCTCACCCCCTCTTTTCTCCTGGTCTGAGACCTTAGTGCAGGAAAACCTTGAAGGATTGATTAACTTCAAGCCAGCAATTGGCTTGCTCCAATTTGAAGTCTCTTCTCCACTCTAGAGTTTTAGATGGGTCTACATGTCCATTCAAACAGTTTCCTAACTCAGAGATATGAGGTGTGGCCAAACCCTCTCTTCTTTCAACAAAGCTGTATCTCTTTGGGACAAAGAATTCCTCCCTGTTTAGCAAACCAAATCAAGTCCTGGCCAAAGGCAGAGTTACACTTTCCCCCTATAATGTCCAATAGCCAATATTCATTCCTACCATACATTTTAGGGACCTCTGGTGGCCTAGTGGTAAGAAGCTGTGCTGCAATACCGAAAGCAAGCAGTTCAAATCCACCAACTGCTGGACAGAAGAAAGATGGGCAATCTCCTTCCATGCGATTTACTGCCTCTGAAAACTCTGGTCAGCTATGAGTTGGTCGATCACACACAACAACAACAACAGCAAATTCTCAATTATGATAACCACAGTATATAATTATTCATTTAGTCCACATTGTCCTTCCTTTCACCGATTCCAATAAACTTTTCATTGTCTATCCATTAATCTCTACTCTCTTCATCTGTCCTATAACCATACTAGACTGATTTTCTCCATATGTAAACTTTTCTCTAGCCTTTTAATAACAGCTGTCTTACACAGCATTTATCCTGTTGAGACTGACTTATATCTATCAATATGATGTCCTCTAGATTTGTCCATGTTGGGTAGTGTTTCATTGTTTTTCAGCGCTGCAGAGCACTCCATCGTATAGATGTACTAGAGTTCTCTATCCGTTCCCTCCTCTTTGGGCACTTGGGTTGTTTCCATCTCTTGGCTTTTGTGAATAATGCTGCAATAAACATAGGCGTGCATAAATGTATTCATGTCACAGCCCTTTTTTCTTTGAGGTATATTTCTAATAGTGCAATAGTGGAATCAAATAATACTTTTCTTCTCAATGTTTTAAGAAAACATCAGGGAAATACAGACGTGCCTGCCGGCTTGCTTAGAGCCTTGGTCGCTGCGGGGAGTGAGATGGAGCCGGGCGCGGAGGCTGTGGGCAGTCAGGATGGTCTCCGCGAGCGGAGAGGCTCCACTGGGACAGCGAGGCGGGAGCAGAGCCACAGTGTGCAGCCTTACTGCGGACCAAACGGAATCCCAAGGCATTCCTACTGGTTAGACCTTTGGCTTTTCATTCTGTTCAACCTGGTGTTGTTTTTCTTCATGTATTTTATGCCTTGAGTGGTTTGGCTGTTTTCTAAATAAAGAAGTTGACATCTGGACTGGCTTCTGAAAATGACTACGTATTTCGTGAACAAAAGAAGACAGGATTGTGCTTTTGCTGCAGAAGAATTTCTTCCTACAACACCTTTTCATTCTATTATTCATTTCGTGACTTCTAAATGAGGAGCAGTTGCACCCTTTTACAAAATTAAAACTGGATCCTTTTGCTCATGTTTAAAAACTTCAAATTTTTAATAACTTTATAAAGGCTAAATAGAAAAATATTTATACTTTAAAGATTTCATATAATCCCTAATCATGTCTTTCATTTAATTTTCTGAGGGTTGGTCAGAGTTTAATATGTTGTAAATAATGTGGGATAGTAAAATGAGTTATTTATACATTCAAACACAAATTACTCAAAAGCAGAGTTTAACAGAAGAAACAAAATGTTCTTAAATTGAATTTAGATGCTCTAAATAAGAAGGTTTTCTAGCAAATGCAGTTGCAATAGATATTGACTGTAAGTACCAGATACAAACTTAGAGGGAGTAGATAATATCCAATAATAAGAAAGCCGTATGTGTGCCCTGTATGTGTTACCTGGAACCTGCCTCTCTCCCTTAAACCGTTGAGTTCCCTAAAATTGTGTTTTGAAAGTCTTGTTTTTTGTGTTTTTTTTTTTTAAATTTGGTTGCATTAAAGATGCTTGTGACCAAAACCTGATTTTTATGTCTGTGGCTTACTTAAGTACTCAAGCAGGTGCAATGAGATATTTCATTTGAGTGCTAAGAACTAGGCCTTAGTATTAGGGACAACAGTAAACAATATAGACCAAAATCTTTGCCTTCATAGAGATTACATTCTAGTTTAGTATGTTTTAAAAACCTTATTTATCTACTATGTATGCTAGTTTATAAAAATAACATCGATTTTGGTTGTAATCTAAGAAATTCTTTTGTGGTTTTCAGACTAATTTCATGTATGTGAGTGAAATGACTTCTAAAAGTTTTAGGTGAACTGGTTTTATAATAGTCACAATAAAATGTTTATAATTTAATTTGAAAATGTTAGGATGTGAAAAGCTCCATCTAACACCAATTAATTAAATACTGGCAGTGCTTGATGGAAAACTTAAGTAGACAGTTACCCAGTAAAGATACATGACTGGGCACCAAACCATGGCCACACCTGCACAGGTTTTCTTAATTGGGAGCCCTGCCCTTGGCCATCTCTTGGGTAGGCAGAAACTTCACCTGGTCTCTGTGCTACACCCATAACTGTCTACCGTAGCCAGCAGAACTGTCTCAGACTAGACAACCTTATTTGCACATGCTGCAAAATGGCCTTTCTAGCCCATTAGCTTTGATCACTTGGCTGGGTGGGACTATGCAAACAACTCATGATGGTCAATTTTACTGTCCCACCAGGTTTAAATTTAGCAGGTTTAGCAGCAGCAGAAAGAAAGCTTGCTATCAGCAAAAAGAAAAAGCAGAGAATACAGTATAGGTCCTTTGAGAGTCAGAAATTCCTATGTCAATCTGACCAGGGCCTAGAAAGAGTGACAGCAGTTGCAGTGGAGAACCAGAGACCAACAAGAGGTAGCTCTTGACCTGGGACTCCTTAGCCTAAGGAGCTAGAGCTAGGGACTTATGCCAAAGCTTTCTAGAGGGTGGGGGAGGACAAGACACCGTAACTGGCAAGACTAAGAGAGCTTTTTTAATGATCTAAAGCCTCAAAGCTGAAGGTCAGAGGACCTATGAGCATGCATGATAAGCTTGCTTTTTATTTTTAAATTTTTACTTATTCATTGTTATACATTTTTTTCACTCCCCTTCCCTATCCCTTCCCGCCAGGCCACTTTGCTGTGAACCTCTTGTTCCAGATTATTGTCATACATATAATACCTAATATATTCCTTTTGGACCATTCTTCTCATCTGTTCCAGTGCAGTGTTCCTGATATATCCATTCTTTTCCAATTCTCCCCCAAAACCTCTTTATCAGGCCTGTTTTATAACAGCAGTGTTAATGCGTTGTTTGTCCTTTTGTGGCTGAGATACTTCACTCAGCATAATGTCCTCTGGGCTCCACCAAGTTGTGAAATGTTTTATGAGTTAAATTTTTCAAAGCTGTATAAATGTACCATAAGTTTTTTTTATCCATGTATTTGTTGATGATTGCTTCTATCTCTGCTATTGTGAATAACACAGTAATAAACACCTGTGTTTATAAAAAAAAAAAAAAGAAAACATCAAACTGTGGTTGTACTGTTTAACATTTCCACCAGCAATGTAGGATGGTTCCAACTCACCACATCCTCACCAGCGTTTGCTGTTTGCTGTGCTTTGTAACTTTGCTGTTGTTGCTGGGGTGAGATAATATCTCGTTGTTGCTTTGCATCTGTCTAGTTTGAATATTGCACTAGAACGCCGAGAAGCCAAGACAAAGGAAGAAACCAGGAAGTTAAACAGATTATTTCAAAGGGCAGCTCTGGATGACAAAGCAAGTATTATAATGAAATGTACAAAGAGCTAGAGTCAGAAAATCAAAAGGGATGAACTCACTGAGCATTTCTCAAGATAAAGGACTTGAAGAACAAATTCAAGCCTCAAGTTGCAGTACTTAAAGATGCTATGGGCAGAATATTGAATGACCCAGAAAGCATCAAAAGAAGACAAAAAGTACACAGTCACTGTACCGAAAAGAATTGGCTGACACAGAATAATTTCATAAAGTAGCATCTGATTAGGAACCAATGCTAATAAAGGAGGAAGTTCAAGTTACTCTGAAGGAATCTGCAAAAAAATAAGGCTCCAGGAATTGATAGAATACCAATTGACATATTTCAACAAACAGATGCAGCTCTGGATGAGTTCACCAGGTTGTGCCAAGAAATCTGGAGGACAGCTACTGACCGACTGACTAAAAGATATTCATGTTTATTCCCATTACTAAAACAAGTGATCCAACAAAGTATGTATATTATTGAATAACATCACTAATATTACATGCAGGCAAAATCTTGCTTAGAACTACCCAAAATCGACGAGAACAGTACATCAAGAGACAACTGTCAGAAGCTAAAGTTGGATTTAGAAGAGGCCATAGCACTAAGGATATCATTGTCAATATCTGATGGATCTTGGCTGAAAACAGAGAGTACCAAATGGTTGTCTATTTGTGTTTTATTGACTGCAAAGGCATGTGACTGTGTGGATCACAACAGATTGTGGCTAACCTTGAGAAGAACACGAATCTCAGAACACTTCATTGTACTCATGCTAATCTATACCTAGACCCGGAAGCTGTTATACGAACAGAGCAAGGGAACACTGCATGGCTCAAAATCAAGAAGGAAGTGCATCAGGGATGTATCCTTCCCCCATAACTTTCCAATCTATATGCAGAATAAATCATTCGGAGGATGGACTTTATGAAGAACAATGTGGCATCAGGATTGAGTTGTGCTGATGACACAACCTAGCTCATTGAAACTGAGGAAGACTTGAAGCATTTGTTGCAAAAGGTCAAGGATTGCAGTCTTCAATCTGGGTTTCATCTTAACAACAAGAAAACAAACATTCTTATCACTGGGCCAATTGGCAGCATCCTGCTAGATGGAAAAAGGATTGATGTTGTCAACAACTTCACCTTGCTTGGACCCATAATTGACACTCCTGGCACCAGCAGTCAGGAAGTAAAAAAAAAAGAGGTGCTTTAGGAAAGTCTGTTGTCAGGGATCTCTCCAGAGTGCTAAGTAACAACAATGTCAGTCTAGAGACTAAGGTGCACCTGATCCAGGCATCTCAGTTACATGCTGTGCATCCAAGAGCTGGACTAAGGATGACAGAAGAAGGATCAATGCTTTTGACTTGTAGGGCTGGAGAAGAGTATCAAGCATACCAAGGACTACCAAGAGAACAAACAGGTCTATATTGGAGAGAATGAAATTAGATTGCTCCTTTGAGGCTAGGATTTTAAAACTCTGTCTCACATACTTTGGGCATGTTGTCCAGAGGAAACCCTCTTTGGAGAAGTATATCAAGGTTGGAAGGGTGAAGGGTCAGTCAGCACAGAAAGAAAGACCCTGGATGAGATGGATTGACACAGTGACTTGGGCAACAGAGGCAAGTGTGTCCGAGACAGTGAGGGTGACTTAGGACAGGCACAGTTCAGAGTTGTTGTTCATAGGCTTGCTGTGAATCTTAATCTACTTGATGGCACATAACAACAAATTTTATTTGCATCTGATTCACTAGTGATGTTTTTTAAATAAAATTTTTCTTCTATATTGGTTTACTTACAAAGTTCATTACATTGCTTTTCACACCAGATCTTTCCCATTTCCTTTACCCACCTTCCCTCCACCCATCAAATTGTGTGACCTTATGATTAACTACCTACACACACACACACACATTCTCACCCCTCTGCTCCCACCTTCCCTCCCTTGAATCCTCCTATATGTTCTATAATAATGGCCTTATACAGTATTTATCCTTATGGGACCGAGTTAGTTCACTTAGCATAATGTTCTCCAGTCTCTCGCAAGTTAGGTAGTAATTTACAAAATCATGGCTCTTGTGTGCTGCATAGAATGTACTGTAATCTCTCAATCCATTCATTTGTGGTTGAATATTTGGGCTGTTTCCATCTTCTTGTGATATTGAATAACGTTATGAACATTGGTGTACAAATCTCTGTTTGTGCCTCAGTTCTCATTTTCTTGGGGTAGATTCCAAACAGTGGAAAAGCTGGGTTATATGGAATTTCTATGGTCAGCTTTTTGAGGAAACACGAAACTGCCTTTCACAGTGATTGTACCATTTTACAATTTCAACAGCAATGTATAAGAGTTCCTATCTCACCACATCCTCTCCAACATTTATTACTTGCTGCCGTGCTAAACTTTGCCACTGTTACTGGAATGAGATGATATCTCATTGTGGTTTTGATTTGTATCTCTCTTATTACTAGTGATTTTAAGCATTTCTTCATGTGTTTGTTGGTCACCCG